GTCAAGCGATTCGTGAGATCAGTACCCATCTCGTCTTGTTTCATAGATATACTAGACTTGAGCTGATCAACTTGAGTCAGGACATTTGAAAGTAACTTTTCCTATTAAACTACCAAACGTCAGATCAGTTAGCACATCAGATTTACGGCAACAGAATAGTGTACTGTAAAGATAGGTAATTCCTGAACCTTCTTCTCAAGAGAGTTTAAAATAGAGTGTTTCCGCTTCTCTGCATTTTCCAAATCCTGCCTCACTTGTTTCAGTTCTGACTGATCATGAGCAAGCTTGGCATCATTCTTCTGCTGCTCAGACTCAAGTTCATTGATTTTCTGGTCAATCTGTAAGAAGAGGTTAAGCTGAAACAGATGCTGAGAGATGTGTAATTTCCACCAGGAACCTCAACGGCTGCTGACATAATTCATTTCTTATGCGTGTAGAATACTGAGCTATGGACCAGTTCCATGAAATTTGCTGGCACAACTAGAATAATACAAGCAGATTTTCGAAAATGAACAGTTATTCAGTTTCCTCCGTCACTTCCCTATGTTTCTATAAAAAGCAATTCAAACATCATGATAAAAACACAAATTCTTGCTTTATCATGAAAACCTTTTGTAACAAATTTTAGTTTATAATAAGTCAGTCAAGGATATTTTGAAGTTCAATTTTTATGCTGCTATTCAGCTCTTTCTGCTTCGTCTCAATAGAGATTGCATTTTGACGAATTGATTTCATAAACTTCAATCTAGAATGCCGGTGGTCATAGAACCCTCCAGTCATGCCACCATTCTTGCTCACCTGATCCCCTGTTAGGAGAAGGCTGAATCATAAGGAAACAAAAAAGAACAAAACTTGCATCCAGCGACTCATACCTTCCAAAGTTATACAGTCCAAGCCGTCAGTTCGGGCAACCCTTGTAGCAACATCCAAATCTCGACAAATAACTGTCCTTCCAAACGCCTAAAAACATAAAGGAGTAAATGATAGAATTGAAGAGAGATAGTGAACAGAAAGGTAAAAAAGAATGATATTCAACAATGAAGTAAACATTTCAATGCGCTAGGCACAGCAAAAGAACCAGCATAAATGAAATATGAAACCGAAGGAAAATTATAAAGAACTTTGCAATTGCTAACCTGAGCTAGGGCCGGAGCATGATCACGAGAAAATCTCAATTTTTGTACGAGCGGTATCACATCAGAGCTTTGCGGATAGTTAACTTGTGGAGCTTTGACCCTGTTTAGAGGAATGAATATAACCCGCCCTCCTCTTTGATTGTTAAGATGCTTAATAATCTCAGTTGATTGGTCATCATTTTCGACCACCACATGAAACAAACTGTATAAAGATAATCAAGGCAGCCAAAAAACTAAGAGAAGAAAGCAAATACGATCAATCTTTTAATGAGAAAGGAACCTGTTTCCAGCAGTAACTTCGACAGCAGTGAAAAATTTCTCGTCACATTCAAGCAGCTCAAAAATGGGTCCATGTACGCCAGAAATTTTATGTTGCTTGATTATCCCTTTCACCGAGTTCAAACCCCTCCTAATCTCCTGAATTCGGATCATGTTAAAATTATTTGTTCGAGATACTATGAGGCAGCATTTTGAGAAACACAAAAGAGGATTAATAGAAGTAGTAGGACAAAGATTAAAACTCAATGTGGACTATTTTTTGGACAAAGGAAATACAATTGTCGCTGCGGCTAGATCACTGATTGTTTATATTGTCCTGTGCTTTTTACTCTGTCTATCATGGAAGAACACAACAATTTGAATGTAAGATAGATTTTTAGAGAAAGACAAAATTTCCTTTCATGCTTGACTGTTGATAGACCGTCGTCACACTAGTCAAATATTAATTACCTACTTAATACAATTACTAGTAGTAAAGCAGAATGTAGGGTCGATCCCATAGAGAAGGTTACCAAGTATTGGTTAAAATTATTTTTTATTATTATTTAGATTAATAATTTATCAATTTAAACTAATCTAAACCTAAAACTATTAATCGCAATTATTTAAAGATATAAATAAGTAAAAGAAAAACCTATAGCAAAGGGTTTCACCTACCGACTACTCAGTTTAACTCAAGCTATAGATATGTGACTTTGGACTTTCATTAATCTCATGACAATTCACCAATTTAAGAATTATACACTCTCGTGTCATAACCCTCTTACTTAAACTAACTCTATGACTACTCTCGTGACTATAGGGATTAATAGAACTACATTAAGAACTTTGGAATTCCTAGTCACAAAGGTGGTGTTCCTACTCTCATGGCTCACTACCTAAGTTTATTATTCCTACAAACTAATACTAGTCTTCCACTCTCGCTACTTCAGCTAATAACTTAAAGCAAGCAAATATTGATCAGGTATTCACATGGATGAAAAACAAGAATACTAAATATTAACTAAAGAAAAAGTCACAATCATAACTTAAATTAAATTAAATAGTACGGCAGCTACATCCAAAACCCTAGATAAAATAATTTAGCTACACATCATCTCAAAAAGAAATAAAACAATGAAACCCAGGAGAAGAAGGCCAAAAGTTGAGTCCGAAGTTGCTTGCTTCCTCCTCCGATGATGGTGCTTCGTGTGGGCTTTGATGCGTGGAAGCGGCTGCGCGAGAAGGTGGAAAGGTGAGGGAGGTGGTGTTGTCTCGGCGGTGAAGAGGCAGAGGAGATGGTGATGATGGCTTCGATGGTGAACTCGGTGATGATGGTGGCGAAGAGAGGTGAAGAGGTGGAGGAAGATGGTGGCTGCGTGGGCAGCAAGGTGAGGCAGAGGTGGTGAAGGAGAAGATCGGGGAGGGGGGGTGGTTGATGGTGTATGGTGATGATGGAGAAGCAAGGTGCTGCGTGGTGATGGAGGAAGTTGCAGCGGTGGTGATGGAGAAAGGTGGAGGTCGGCGGGGATTTGTGTTTTGCAGCCGTGAGGGTTGCGGTCAAGTTCGGTCCAGTCCTACTGTAAAAATAAATCCCTAATCCTCCTTTTATATGCTTCCGTCAAAACCCTACTTCTTGGAGAAGAAGAAAACTTGTTCCCCAAATAATATCGGGATTGAAATTCTTACCCAATTCCAATCCCAAATCAGCCATAAGTCATTGAACTCTCAGCCAATTTTCCAAAAACCAAACAAAATTTCAAAATTGCTTGTTTAATCCTCCAATTTTTTAAGTCCTTTAATTTCTTCCTTGTCAATTTATCGAATCTTCAATTCTTCCTTTAAGTTACTTTTATCTTTATTTTAGCCTAAAATTTCAACAATTCCTCCAATCGAGTACAATTCCTACAATCAAATATAAAATCACATAAATAGTACATTTGTACTCAAAATATTGGCAAAATTTCACATAAAGGGATATTAAAAATAGGTAAATTATGAGCATATCAAATACCCCCAAACATGAATTATTGCTTGTCCTCAAGCATGCCCAAGTATTAAAACAAACAAAAACATTAAATTATTTAATTACGCGGCCTTAGAGATTTAACATCATACAACACAAAGACTTCAACTACCTCTTGTATGGACTACCTAACAATGCAAACCATAGCTACTTTTAGCCCCCACGCTTGTGTGTGTGTGCGATCCTATTCTCAAGGACATCACTTTACATTTAACATAGAAAACAAAAGCTCTACTGCAAATATGTCATATATTTACACTTTAACACAGATTCACATTTCATACCATATTTAATGCAATGGACCACCAGACATGCTATGAAATAGAAGGACTTATCTCACAGACAACCTATTCCCCCTCGTAACCCATTCTTCAGTCCATGTGGCTTTTCTTCAGGACTTTTTCCAACTCAGGCCACTACCCAGAGCATTTTTCCACTCCTATACATAGTGGCTCAGCAACTTAGGGCAGTCTATATATCTATTTTTCCTCACCGGGCCTGAGGACTCTCCGCTCAGGTTACCAATTCCTCACCTCTCAATGGGGCTAGCATCAATATTGAATGCTCTTCCTTTTCTCCCTCAATAAATTTAACCTAACCTCAGAAGCATCCGCCAACACCCTCCCCCAAACTTAGCTAACACAAAGTGTCAAAGCAAGAAGGTTTTTTAGGACTGATATTGGGTTAATGCCTTACTTTTCCTTCACAACATGATGGGTTCCACATACAAATCATATTGATATGAGTGAATCAAACACAACTTTTCATGGCATATCTACATCAAACTCATGTAACTATGCCTCACTTTAGGCTTATTCCACAGTCACGACTAACTGCATAAAAAGCAGGGTATTCAAAGCAATATAGAAATACATAAGTTAAACAATACAATTCAAAATAATCTAATTCTTACATGTTATAGATAATTAAACCATCTTCATCATAGGCCTTTTTGGATTTTTTTTCATTTTTTTCAGTTTTTTATGGTTTTTTAATGAAAATAAACACAAAACACACCAAACACAAAACACAAATTCCTCTCCGCCACACTTAAAGCATAAATTGCCCTCAATGTATAAAACACAAAAGACAAAGCAACCAAGTGAAAAGAACAGAAAAGACATAAACAAAAAAATGAAAAGAAACAACACAACCTTGGGAATGTGAAGTGGAAGACGAAATTGTTGAAGTTGAAGAATAAAGAGATCTGTTGCATAACCATCCAAGTATTTTCCATCACCATTTATTCTAGAGAGTAGCTGCCACCCATAAACAAAAAAAAATGTAAATTTTATCAAGTAGATGATTAAGAAAAACCACGAAAATTTAGAAATCAAAGATTTCCAAATAATCAGGAACAAAAAACTCAACCATCACTTATTCATGAAAAATAAAATAAAATAAAGTAAAATAAAATGTTGGGTTGCCTCCCAATAAGCGTTGTTTTAAAGTCTTTAGCCGAACTCCATGGCCTATCAGTCAAAGTACCCATCTCAATACCAGAAGAAACCATGTTTAGCAGCAATAATGAATCTCTTGTAGTGGCTCTCCTTGCCATGAGAAAATATAAACTTATACTCTTAGACCACTATATCCTCCTTCTCAAATTCAATCTTGTACCATTGATCCTCTTCTTGGTCTTTCATTGAACCATCTTTCACATCATCCTCAAAATCTCTTATACTAGGGACAACCTCACCACATGTGTCTACTTCAAACCCTTCTTTTGAAACTATAGGAATATTATTCTCATCAAAATCAACTTGATCCACATTTTTGTCACCAACTCTCAGAATGAGCGAATTATGCTTAACTACTATGTATATACCAGAAGAATCAGGAGAACTTGGATTATCTTGACTGTTAATCTCTTTGGTCTCTTCTACTTCTTCACATTCAAGCTCAGTTTGAAATAGTGGCTGGGGAGACTGGACCAATGAATCATCTTCAAAAATCTTCTCATTCTTATTCAATTTAAGCAAATTTCCTATAGGATTATATTCCGGCAACCCTACACTCAACCTATATTGGTTGACCTCTTTGATAAGTTGTTGGCCTTTTTCACTTTGAAAATCTCGAAGAGCTGCCTCTCTAACAGTAAGTTGAGGTTGAGTAGGTGGCTGATGATACGAAGATCCTAACTGTCTAAAAGTGGGTTGACAAGGTGATGATTGTAAGGCTGCTAGCTCTCTCAGAGTAGGTTGACGAGCTGCTAACTCTCTTAGAGTGGGTTGACGAGCTGCTAACTCTCTTAGAGTGGGTTGAGTAGGTGGTGGTTGATATACTGATGCATTTGAGTGGTAACAATCCTCTTGAGAGAAATATGAAGCATTTTTCTTCTCCATGTCATCAAGCAATTTATCAATTCTCTCCAAACATGACGACATCCTAGGAGTCATATACTCGCTCTCAAAACTAGAATTGTGCCCAGCATCAAATGAATACCCTTGATAATGACAACCATAGTAAGGATCAGAAGACGAATTGTTCCAAGAGTACGGTTCTTCTTGATATGTCGGAAGTCTCCATATTCAGAATCATAACTATAATAAGGAGTCTCTCCATATCCATAGTTAAAATTCTCCATAATAGCTCAAATATTCTACAAAAATATTGACACAAGAAAGAAAAGAGAAATAAAATAAAAATAAAAATAAACTAAAATAAAATATAAATTAATAAAACAAAGGAAAATATATACAAATCTAAATTAATAAAAGAAATAATCTAGTTTTGATATTGGTTAGTGCCTTCCCCGGCAACGGCGCCAAATTTGACAAGCCATCGTCACACTAGTCAAATATTAATTACCTACTTAATACAATTACTAGTAGTAAAGCAGAAAGCAGAGTCGATCCCACAGAGAAGGTTACCAAGTACTGGTTAAAATTATTTCGTATTATTATTTAGATTGATAATTTATCAATTTAAACTAATCTAAACCTAAAACTATCAATTGCAATTATTTAAAGATATAAATAAGTAAAAGAAAAACCTAGGGCAAAGGGTTTCACCTGCCGACTACTCAGTTTAACTCAACCTATAGATATGTGACTTTGGACTTTCGTTAATCTCACGACAATTCACCGATTTAAGAACTATTCACTGTCGTGATATAATTTTTCTTACTTAAACTAACCCTATGACTACTCTCGTGACTATAGGGATTAATAGAAGCACTGTAAGAACTTTGGAATTACTAGTTGCAAAGGTGGTGTTCCTACTCTCGTGGCTCACTACCTAAGTTTATTATTCCTACAAGCTAATACTAGTCTTCCACTCTCGCTACTTCAGCTAGTACCTTAAAGCATGCAAATATTGATTAGGTATTCACATGGATGAAAAACAAGAATAATAAATATTAAGTAATGAAAAAGTCACAATCATAACTTAAATTAAATTAAATAGTACGACGGCTACATCCAAAACCCTAGATAAAATAATTTAGCTACACATCATCTCAAAAATAAATAAAACAATGAAATCCGAGAGAAGAAGGTCAAAAGTTGAGTTCGAAGTTGCTTGCTTCCTCCTCCGATAATGGTGCTGCGCGTGGGCTTTCATGCGTGGAAGGGGTTGCGCGAGAAGGTGGAAAGGTGAGGGAGGTGGTGCTGTCTCGACGGTGAAGAGGCAGAGGAGATGGTGATGATGGCTTCGATGGTGAACTCGGTGATGATGGTGGCGAAGAGAGGTGAAGAGGTGGAGGAAGATGGTGGCTGCTTGGGCAGCAAGGTGAGGCAGAGGTGGTGAAGGAGAAGATGGGGGGTTGATGGTGTATGGTGATGATGGAGAAGCAAGGTGCTGCGTGGTGATGGAGGAAGTTGCAGCAGTGGTGATGGAGAAAGGTGGAGGTCGGCGGGGATTTGTGTTTTGCAGCCGTGAGGATTGCAGTCAAGTTCGGTCCAGTCCTATTATAAAAATAAATCTCTAATCCTCCTTTTATATGTTTCCGTCAAAACCCCTACTTCTTGGAGAGGAAGAAAACTTGTTTCCCAAATAATATCAGGATTAAAATTCTTACCCAATTCCAATCCAAATCAGCCACAAGTCATTGAACTCTCGGCAAATTTTCCAAAAACTAAATAAAATTCTGAAATTGCTTGTTTAATCCTCTAATTTTTCAAATCCTTTAATTTCTTCCTTGCCAATTTATCGAATCTTCAATTCTTCCTTTAAGTTGCTTTTATCTTTATTTTAGCCTAAAATTTCAACAATTCCTCCAATTGAGTACAATTCCTACAATCAAATATAAAATCACATAAATAGTACATTTGTACGCAAAATATTGGTAAAATTTTACATAAAAGGATATTAAAAATAGCTAAATTATGAGCATATTAACTGTCGTCATTGCTTGTTTTTTTTCTTGCTAAATACGATTATGTCAAATCACACCAGAAACACAGTGGCTGGCAGTATCAAGAACAGAACTGTAAAAGGAGGGTCTATAAGAACATTAATCAACCTCTATACTCTTAAGCACTAGAAATTGATGATAATGCTAGCCCTGAAACTGACCCAAAGAAACAATGGCCTTGATAAGTTTTTCAAACAATTAAAAGCACGACAATTCCCACATTAAGGCAGTACTTACGCCTGGAGTAGCATGATCTAGGCTTTTCTCTGCCTTCACCACTTCTGACTGAAGCTGCTTGATTTCGGAAGAGAGTTCAGCTTTCTTTTTCCAGAAAGACCTGAAAGTTAAAACTTCTGCAATTAGTATATACCATGCTTGGCCAAGCAATGTTTACTTCTTTGATGAAATTAAAATTCTCAAAAATCTTCTTCACGATATTTAATTTTATATTTAGTAAAATCAACTTTTTCTCATTCCTCCAAGATTCATTCACAATATAAAAGAGTCCTTTGAAGTCTTTCTTCTTCCAAACCATATTTCCAGAGAAAAGATGGCGCCAACTACAACCATAATATCCAAGAAACACTCAAACAAGGAGCCTAGCAAATGACATTATATCATACTTCCGTGCAGAATGCAATTTATCTCTCTTCTCTTTGAATTCACGGAGAACATCTCCATAACCATCTATTCGAGTTTTTGATGCAGCTGCTTCATTTTTCCGACCAGATAAGTAGTCATCCTGCACCTCCAAATCCTTTTTTAGCGGACTGATTTCATCCTTCAGTTTCCTCTCCTGTAAATTGAAAATATAATTCTCACTTCATTGTTTCCTTGATAACCAATCACTCCCGGTAAAAAGGAAATATGTGCAACATCTTAGGTGAAAACAAAAACGCGAGAATATTTCACATTTACTCCAAAGACGGGCATATCAGTAGATATTAAATTCAGTTAACGGGCAATTCAAATGATACCACCGAAAGAGGATGATTATTTGTAACTGGAAAACAGGAGAAATGAAACTATACTCTTAAAAGAAATATCAAAAGACAAAAAGGAGACACTTTTGGCTACCTTTTTCTACCTTAAAATAACATTTAAGGATCTTACACCGCTCGAACTTACTCCCTTCTTGTTCAGATACTCAAGTGAGCATTCTAATTGACTTACTTCATTCGTAATCATTTTACAGTTTCTCCAGGTCATTTGAAATCTCATCAGGGATTACACGGCTCAATGACAAAGCTGAATAGAATATCAACTCAAAAACTGAATCAAAGCCAAAAAAACGGATGAAAATGCATATCAAGTGCATCAATTCACGCCTGGTACTTTGCAGCCACATCTCTTCAATAACATTAATTTGCAGCCACATCTCTTCAAGAACTCACCACAATTTACACAAAATTTCATGAATTATCTCTCTCTAGAAAGACATACTTCCATTATAGACTCAAGAAGCTATGTAGCCACAGCTGGTGCAGCCATATATAGTAATTGATTTTACCAAGGTCATTAAAGCCATTCATGACTCTCAGAATTTTTTTCATAAAGTTCCCTAAAATGATCTGACATCGATATCAACTAGAAACTCCAATGTCATAGAAAAATATCATTGCTTATAGAAGAGCAATTCAGGAGGCTGACGAGATTCTCAAACATGACTGTTTGAGCTTCTGACTTCAACTTATAGACTCTGTTCCAATACATGATAATCCCTCTCACTTGCAAACTAAGCCAATAATCATTCTTTACTGCTGTACTAAATTTCACCAAAAGAGGAAAAATAATGAGGGAACAAACATCAGCAATTTTAAAACCTGACACAACAATGCCACATCCAACAATGTTCTGCAAGAAGGAAACCTTTATCTAAGGTCTAGGACTACAAAATCAGCCACATGAAACTATCTTTCCTTCCCTAGATACCTGTACTCAAACTTCTACGATGATGTTGTACACAACTTCACATACAGAAAAAAGACAAAAACAAAAAAAAAAAAAAGAAGAAGAAGAAGTTACATGTGTTAAGTTTGAAGCGAGAACTCTGTCATACTCTAAAATTTCATTTTGGAGCCATTCATCACGAGCAGCTTTACTAGGAAATTGGGTTGCACGACCTTGTTTCTGATAAAGAATGCCTAGCTGCTTTTCACGTTCCATAATTCTGCATGACACACACAGAAAAAAGTGGGCCAAAAGAACTTCAGAATCGGTTCTGCGAGTATTATAAAACAGTGCAGGGCCGAAAAGGAGAGGCCCCTACCAAGTGCGTGCGATCTAGTGAGTCCAAAATCCAAATGACAGCTTTGCCATTACCTTGCTCTTAATATGTTTATTTAAACTTGTACTATAACACATTTATTATTTTATTGATTAATAACACATGATTAGACACTCATAAGAAGAGAAATTAGATTGTAATGCTTATAATTCATTAATTACATATGATTAGGTTGAACTCATATGAGTGGACTCAAATGACATTTTTAAAGATAAATGGGATTAATTTGTACATTCATAATGTTGCTTCTATGTTTTAATAAATGTATTATAATACCTTAAAATTTAAAGAATAGCCCCCATCATTTATAAGATTTTTATACTAGTACCTATAAACTTTAGGTTATAATAGTGTGGTACCCTAATTTTTATATTTATATGTGGCTCTCTTAAGCCATAACACACAAACATTACAATACACAAGGGTAGATACGGGTGAGTTAGGTAAGAGTTCTAGCCTGCCTAGATGGCTTCTAGGAAGAGCTTCTACCTAATCTCAAAACTTGTCATGAAACATGACGACACTCAGTCGACAACCAACGCCCCAACATTCATTCATTAAGGGTATATCTCGAGATAACCAACCTCCTATTAGTAATATCCAAAATGTCCTGGCCCTATGCCGACATGTAAGGATTTACCTTGAACTAGAAGGGTGCATAGATCCATAACTGACCAATGATAGCATGCACACGTTCAAGCGAGACTCAGTATACACGTTGAACACTTATTTACAATTTGGCACATGCGATAAAGTACGCATGGCCACTGGACACTTAAATACTCTTAAGCAATTTAATACAGTCACATTTTCAACTACACATTGCACAAATGAAAAGCTCACAGCAAAGACCACTAGACAATTCTATGGCACTCATTAAACAGGAATAATTCACATGAAGACATCAATAGCAATCACATACCCGGTGCGATAAAGTACACACACGGGGCAATCATAGTATGCAATATTACCAGTCATGGATCAATAAAATAAATAATAGACATGCTTCTCTGTTTCATGCTATTATTCTAACCAGTTACATGTATTTATATAAACAGTGGGGTAACTCACTTCCACTACTAGCGCAGGCACAATGTTATTTTGGAATAAGCCAACCTGCAATATTTTTCTAAAATGAATAAGCACATTTTATTAACTCTAAAAACTACTAAAATAAGCTAATCCCCTTCAAAGTTCAAATGCAAGTTTAATCTCTACATTGCTCATTCAAGTATGTGTTTTAAGTTAAAGTTTCATATTGCATATCTATATAGTGAGAGCCAGATATTAGTCCTAGATTTGGCACTAATCTAGTTTATATTTCTTGTCCTCATATTTTCCTAAAATGCTAGAAATATGGGTCATAAAACGCTAGAAATACTTTTTTCATTTAAATATTTTTAATCTTTTTTTTAGGAAGAATAAAATATATCAGAAAAATAGTGTTTTAACTGATGATAAAGAATTCACTATTAAAGCCATCCGGGCCAGGACTCTTTTGAGAGTCGATGCTAAACATAACTTCTTTTATTTCTGATTTTGTGAAGTCTCTTATACACTTTTTTCCACTTTTCTAAATAATATCCTATAATTTATAGATTTAGTCCCTTTGATTTTTTTTTCTCTCTCCTTTAAAAAACATCTCTAATCTTTAAACGACCATATCTCTCAATCCGTGAAGAATTAAAAAACGTATTACACATGAAATTTATTGTTCTCGTCGAGATCTATCAAACAAGATCCATAGTGAACATTTTTTCCAGGCTTAAAAATGATTAAATTCTGATGGGCAGAATGAAGGTGGATATCCAGTTTTACAATATGGATAACCAAGTTATTTTAAATTGGTTATCCGTTGTGTTCATGCTGATTATCCAACCAGTTTGAACTGGTTATCCAACTTGTTTGTACTGGATATCATCCATTTGGTTTGTATGCCTATCAAACTTGTTTGTAATGGATATTCCACTTGTTTGTACTGGATAACCATTTGGTTTGTACTGGATATCCAACTCGTTTGTACTGGATATCCATCCATTTGGTTTGTATGCTTATCCAACTTATTTTGTAATTGTAATCCAATGGGTTTGTATGCATATCCAACTTGTTTGTACTGAATATCAAACTCGCTACTACTGATTATCCAACTTATTTGTACTGGATATCCATCCATTTGATTTGTATGCCTATCCAACTTGTTTGTACTGGATATCCATCCATTTGGTTTGCATGCCTATCTAACTTGTTTCTACGCACTGGATATTTATCCAACTTGTTTGTAGTGGATATCCATCCATTTAGTTTGTATACCTATCCAACTTGTTTGTAATTGATATTCCACTTGTTTGTATTGGATATCCATTTGATTTGTACTGGATATCCAACTCGTTTGTACTGGATATCCATCCATTTGGGTTTTCTTTTTATTATTATTTTTTTGAAAAAAAGAAATGGTTGTCCAACGCGTTCGTATTGATTATCCAACTGTTCTATATGGATTATCCGACCATTTTTTTCTTTACTTCTTGCGAAAATCCTTGTCCAGTTTTTTTGTACTGACTATCCAACCGTTTTGTATGCCTCATCCAATCATTTTCACTAATTATCCAAACATAATTTCTCTTCTTTTTTTTTCTTCTTTTGAGAAAAAATCTGTCCAATGTGTTCATACTGATTATCCATCCGACTTCTCGGTGATGGATGGTTATCCGACTTATTTTTTCCTTGCTCTTTTAATGAAAATGATTGTCCGATTTTTTTGTATTGGTTATCCAACCAGCTTGTACTACTTATCCAATTATTTTTAATGATCATCCAAATTGTTTGTAATACTTATCCAAATATTTTATTTTTATTATTTTCTTCCTTTTTTTTTAATATGAGTGAATGTAAAAGATGTGACTGGATAACAAGTACAAACAATATTCAACATTTCTTCATTTCTGCCCGTAAAATTTAAATGCATTTAGAGTTCAAAAAAAATATTCAACATGGATCTTATCGGATAGATTTCATCGAGCACTATAAATTTCATGTATAATTCGTATTCTAATTCTTTACGGATTAAGAGATATATGCAATACAAGAATTTTAATCTAAACTAAACTGGTTATCCATATTTCTAAATTAGATATCCATCTTATTCTGCCCATCAAAATTTAGTCATTTTTAAATTCGAAAAAAATATTCGACATGGATCTTGTTGGATAGATATCAACGAGTACAAAACCTATCGTCGGCGGTATTTTTGAAGACAGAATCCGATTGTGCAACAAATCCTGTGAGTTTGGTTGCAATATACGCTGTAATATGAGAATTACGGTAAGATTTGAGATTATTTATCTGTTTTGTGTTTTGTCCGATGAATCTTGTTTGAAATTCTCAAAATCTTTCATGTAGAGAATGAGTTTTATGTGTTTACTTCATGGATCTAGTTATAAGAATGGTTTTTTTTAATACCGAATCAAGATAGCAACGATCGAGGATCCTGGTTCAAATAGAACTAGTTCGGAAAATGAAAATGAAGGAAAGTAATACTATTAATCTATTCAACCTTTGATGCATTTTTTGAATGGGTTTTGTTGAACTAGGGTATATACATTCGATTATAGATCTTTGTTAATCAATTTTTAAGTTTTTTTCATCGTATTTGGTGCGTTTGTGGAAGATACTAATAGATCTGGACGTTATTCATTAGTTCTAATTCGATATTCATCCTTGAAATACGTAAATCTAAGTTTCTTATATCCGTATATAGATTATTGTGCACTAACTTGTTAGATTTGTACATCTATTAGTTGTTAAGTTTGAAGGGTTTTCCATCGTTTCACTAGTTGTTGTTCATTATTTTAGTTGTTGTTATTCATTATTTAATTTAATTGTTATTCATCAACTACAGTCTAACTGTTCATCAACTATTCTTTGTTATTGAAATGGTTAGGCCATATCTGTCCATTATTCATCATTGTTGTCTTGATTACTCATCGTTATAATTTGTAATTAGGAGTGTAAATGTGAATTTTATAAAAAAGTTTCTATATATTCATCATTGTATTGTACTTATTCCTTTTTTAGCTTTTGTTATTGATCGTTACTTCAACAGTATTGCATATGTAAGGGCTTAATATTCATATGCTTGTTCATTAGTATTGGTATTATTGCTCACCAGTTGGTGTCCATCAAATATATATGGCTATTCGTCAAGTGAATTTTAGTTATTTATTACATACGAATGTGTTATTCATTTGTTTATTGATGTTGTCATTTCTTGACATAATGCATCAGTAAGGATAGAGGGAAACAATCGGGGGTTAAAGCAAATAGAACCACTGGAACTGAAAAAATCCCATCACCAGTTGAAATGCTCATAAAGATGAACTCGATCAGTCGGGAATCAAATATTTTGGTAGAGTTCCTGAAATCAAACAATCAACATAAAAGTATCGAGCATCGGCGAATCATTCAAGACCTTATATGTTAAAAACAGCGACTAATTTTTTTGTTCATTTTTGGTGTAGTATAATGCATAATTAGAAGTTTATTAGATTAGTTGTTGATATTAGTTCATTGTAAAATATATGCTCGTTAGTTTTTTTAATAAAAGTCATTCATTCTGTTGCGCATTATTCATCCACTAACGACATTTTATTCATTCATTAAGTTACAATTATTCATCTAACAAAACTATATTTATTCTTCATTCTAGTGTTGTTATTCATCTAGGATGGGATCATTATTCATCAAAATGTGTTTCGTTATTCATCTTTGTAAATATCGTTATCCATTTCAAAATTTAAATTTACTTATCCATAACTTTATCACTATAAAAACACCATTATTTATCAACAATATTATCATTATTCATCAATAAGTATACCATTATTCATCCAAACAAATATCGTTATTCATTAAAATCTTTCAAATTTGATCCTTAATTCTCCAGATTTCATTATTAATCAGTTAAAATTTTTTGCTATAAATGATTCTCCAGATTCATAAGTCTCGATGATGAACGTTATTCAATTTTACCAAAATAAAATTCATCGTTATAAAAAAAATTCTCATAAAATAAAATAAATAAAAAACTAATAGGATAAGATCTGGAGGTTTAAAACGTATGCAAAAAAAGGGCATAAAATCTGGTGGTTTTAATGCAATTTTAATGCGCGTGTGATATAGATTACCAACTCCACTCTCTTTTGCCAATTTTATAATACACACATCTCCTAGGTACACATTGCAAAGTATACCTAGGTGCTTGTTATTATTTCCCGGTAATTAAGGGGAAGAACGAAAAAAACAAAAAGAATTGAATGACTATGGTCAAGTTACCTATGTCCAAATCCAATCCAAATGACAAACTTTTCTACTTGTTTCGAATAGAGTGTCTCTATTCTTTTCTTCTTTTTTTATGATTTGTTATAATTATTCAAGAGTAAATTTTAGAAAATAATCTTTCGTCTGAAAAGATATATTGTTACTTATTCAAGAGTAAATTTTAGCCTGAAAAGATAAATTGTTTCGAAAATGCATGTTCACTTGTCATTCCATCTTATATTTCCAAGTTGCACATGGCAAAATTCGTATAAGATGCTTTATTTTAACGAATAACAATTGAATCGAATATATCTCTTGGACTTCGAATGACAATTTGTAGTACTATAAGAAACTGATCCAATATGTTACGAAACAAAACTCACCTATTTCTCAAAGATCTAAAATAAAATAGCATGCAAAATATGTGAAGTGTAGCAATTGCTTCCTCAAGAGAGTTAAAGAAGCCCTAAAATCCCAATATTGCTTCTCTCTAGATGGGTATCTTCTCCATGTAACTCTTCTCATAGAAACCAGTAACTTGGTCAGCAACAGCCCACATAATGGCTCCACCAGTTGGGATCCTCATAAGCCTAGGCAAAAGTCCCTTCCACAAAGCAAAAACTCCTTCCTCTTTGTATATTGTTCCAATTGCATGAACCATGCCCTTATACTTCAATTCAGCCCCTGGCTTGCTCTGAACCATCAGCCTCGTCTTCACGACGTCAAACGGGCCGGTGCATACCGGCCCAACTGTTCCGGCAAAAAATCCAGAGATCATGGACTGCCATGGTTTCAGTACTTGTCCATCGCCTTCTTGTTTCTTCCACACCATCGCATCAAATGCATCTTTAGCCGTGAACATGGCGGCCTGGTTTGGCCCGTTGCGCATTACGGTTGGCGCGGCTCCAGCCCAGAGCCCGCGAAACCCTTCTTCGCGAATGATTGTCGTAGCACAATGGACTGGTCCTTTGTACTTCAAAAGTTCGTATTTTAGACCTTTTTGTTGTTGCAACCTGATTTTAACCACCTGCGACAGACAAATGCACTAATTCAGGTTTTATTTTTTAGACGAACTAATTCAGTTATGTAGTCACGTTTTTTACCAATTTAGACATTTTGAATACACCAAAGATCAAAACTCTTTTTTATTAATCATTTAATCAAATTTTTGACCAATTTAATTATACATTCTGACCAGGTTTTTTAAAGAATACGTAAATAAATATGGGATGTGACCATAATTATTTTATCAATACTTTGGCTCTCTGTTAGAGTGTGCACATTCATCTTACATAAAGAATGACCTCATTTTTTCGACAAAAAGTTAACTTTGCGGGTAAATTAAAGATATAACCATTCAACAATTAATTTATATATCAAATGTGTTTTATACTCATCATCAAATTAAACAAGACTAATTGAAAAGGAGTTGAAATCATTTATCGTGTGTAAAGTTCAAAAAAATGTAATTGATTTGCCTTAAAATTCTACATTTTTAAAATACCTACTTACAATTTGAGATGTGAAATGATTTTTGTGTAATTAAAAACCCAAACGAGACACTTATTTCGGGACATAAGGAATACGATGATTTCAGATAAAGCCACTAAAACTGACCTCAAAAGGGGTGACAACAACAAGCGCCTCAACCACCCCGGAAGCAAACCCGGAGAGAAGCCGGCCATGAAGGCTAAGCTTCCCTGTTTCGCCGTCTTTAAACGCCGACTTGAAAATTTCATTGGAACCCATCCGGAGCGCGTACTTGCACGTCAAGTGAGTCGCAAACGGAGTTAAACCTTTCCACAAAGCCGGAATCCCTTCGTTCTTAACGATGGTTGAGCCGCAGTGAGCTATCCCTTTGTAATATCCCGTCCGGTCCAGCTGAAGCCGGGTCTTTACGACGTCGGTCGGCTGCAAACAAGCCGCCTCCACTACTCCTCCAAGTGATCCTGCTATGGATTTTATGTATGGTGGGATTGAATCCCGGTTTTTGCTCTGGGTTTTCTCCGCCATTTTGTTTGATCGATTTAATCTGGCCGGAAACAGAGAGGTACGCCGGCGGTTAGGAGGATTTGGCAACTTTTTTCCGGTGATAAAGAGGAAGGAAGAAGGTAAAGTTTAACTTGTTATTATTTGAACATGAATTGGAGGCAATGTCAGATACCATATTTATAGTCCTTTGTTTTTTAACTTAATGATTAGACACGGTTTCCAAAGCATAAAAAAAAGGTTATATTATTAAACTACTTCACGAATTAGCTGAACAATGAACAAGGTACAACGTCAAGAAGAATAGTCAGCATTATGAAGTACGAATACAAAATAACTATTTGATTGAAAAGTAATTAACTTTTAAATAGTTTGAGCTAGATTATTAGTAGTAATAATTAAATAGAGATTAATTTAATTGACTTTGTAAATATAGTCCCAAGATCAATTTAGACATTGTTTCTGGTCGAAGACACTTTGTGATACGGGGAGAACATGTGCACTGCCTGTTACGTTTTTATTATAAAAAAATGATGATGATTTTTTTTTTTTTTTAGTTCATCAAATTATAATCATTTTAAAAAGACCCAACTCTAACTTCTACTGTTTATTGATAACTTCACCCATATTTTTTAAGCTTATTTTAATAGTTTTATTAACTTGAATTAAAATAAATAAATAAATATATAGTTTCTTACTGTACGTAGTGTGTATTGTATAGCAATATTCGTTGTGAATACATGACCATTGGATTTGGTTGTTAGAATTAATTGGAACTCGTTCAACAAAGGAAACCGTAAGGACTTTTAACAAAAATTAGCTGGGATCACCCTGAATAAAAGAAGAAGACAAAAAAAAAAATTAAAATTAAAAGCAAAGCAAATGAACAGTTTAGAGTGTTGTTTGACTTGTTTCCGTCTTGTATACTACTTATAATACGTGAAAATTTATAATGATCGAGACACGGCATAACTTTCACTGTACTTGCACGTTTTACTTCCCTCTAAATTAAAATAAATTAACTCACCAATTTTCTGGCATCTTCTAAAAGCGTAGAATTTTTTAAAAACAGAAAAAGAAAACATTCGAAGAACCTTTTCAACCTGAAGTCAAGGAAAGCGATATTTTAATTACGAAAGGGGCCAAGTTTATAATCTATTCCTAAGTGGTCGATCAACCGCATGTGTTTAGTGGTTACATTTATATATTTAAGCAAACTTCAAACAAATCGACATACGAACATCAAATCTCATTGAGTAGTTAGGATACAAGTGTACATAAATAAATGGTAGGTGGACAATGAGGTGCAGTCTAGTATAAAAGATACCTCTCCTATTTTCTAATAGCTTACGAGTTTGAGTCATGTCGCGGTAAATGGGGAATCATTATTAATCACTTCAGAAAAAGAAATAAATGGTAAGTGTATTGCAAACTTGATATGTTAATTTTTTTTTTTTCAATAAAGTGATGTACAATATGAGTTTCTTACAACTCTCGTAAGGATTGATGAGATTATTGACGATAAATATACTTTTCGATAAAAGAAAAATAAATAAATATAAAAATGATGCAGGTTTCTGTATTAGGTAGGTCAGACTACAAATGTTCTCTTTTAGGAACTTATCATTCGGCTTTCCAGATATGATTAAAAAAATTAGAAAAAAAATCTGCATAAAAGTACTGATCGATTTGTATGAAGCTAAATTGAAATGGCCAATTACAACCACTAAAAACGCGGATTTTGGTTGTTAGATTAAAATCGACGTAAAAGATTAATCAGGTCAATATTTTAAGAGCTAATTTGAAATAAACAAATCCAAACACCACGATCCACAATTGGCTGTTCATTATGGTAAAGAGATGCTTAAAAACTAATATCAAGGTTGCAATTTGTTTGAAGCTAAATAAGATGAACAACGTCATCATCAACGTACATAGTTGGAGTAAAGAATAAGGAAAAGTAATAGCAGCCTAGCCTGTCATCCCAGAAAAATAGTCTACATTGAATTTTTAAATTTGTATTAAAATTAGTACAAATCTCAAAACTCAATGTGGACTATTTTTTTGAGACGGAGGTATTATTATTATAAGTTGGGGGAACTAATAAAATTCTTTATTTATTGAGTGTGGAAACAGCAAAACATTTCACAAAAAGTGAGGTTGGAACTAATACACAATTTTCTAAATAGTTTGTGTCTTTGAGAGTCTAGTCCTAACTTGGTGGTAAAATTATCAGTGAACTACATAGATTTTCAGAGATCCAATCGCATTTAGAGTGTGATTCACGGTTATTTAATTAAAAAAACCAATAATTAATAAACAATGATTGGTTTTGAAGTGTGGAATTTTTGGAGGGCTGGATTGTAAATGTAGGTTGTTATTATTACGAAGTTGGAAGTTGAAAGAGTGGAAATGTTGATTATAATAATATGAATGAAAGTGTTCCAATTTGTGTTGTCTAAGAGGGGAATGATTGGAATGCATGATGCGAGGGGTTTCAAGGTTTGATGGTTCGTTCACCAAGAATTGAAATGTTCTTCATATGTAAACAATATACACATATCATAATATGGATGATTAAGTACTCTGTATGTCCAAAATGATTGTTATTATTTGAAATTTTATTTATAATGCAAATTTTTATTAATTATTTTTATTTAAATTTCAGGACAAATGGACTATACATACATAGATTTTCCGAATCGATGATTCAGGTTAATAAAAACTCATAATTCAACTGGGTTATTCTGTTATCCCCCAACTTTTTCCTAACGCTTTGGCTCTCGAGTAACCTGAGTTCTGGCAACAATTTACCTCTTGCGACCACTTACGACGAGAATTGATTCCAAACTCTGTCTTTCATTGAGTTCTCATCGGAGAGTATTTCCTTTTTCTTTTTCTATAAAATGTTGAAAACCAAGGGAAAAATTCCTAGTAGTCAGTAATAATTGTCATATTTTCCAAATTAATTTGTTACGCACGTCGTATGTTATTTCTTTTATTATTATCGATTTCGCACCTGTGGATTTTAACTTTATTTTATCGTCCACTCTACTGCACATAATCCTTATTTTCCCATTCTCTACAATAATTGGGGATATAATTTTTTCTGATATTTAATTTTACTGCCTTTTAATATAGTTTCAATAAATGAGATTATAATCTAAATTATTTCTGAGAAAAAGTAGGCAATTCTCCTAAGATAGAGAATATATAATTCATGCTTGGAATCTTTTTCTGCCCGAAAAGATTAACTTTTATTATGAATTATTACCATACATTGTGACTTTAACTTTAGATTTTTATACTCTTCCACAAGAAACAATTCCAACCCTAATTGATTTTCCTTTTAAGCCCCAATCACGCAGCCAACCTTATATTATCGAACGAACGAGTACTAGTTTGCTAGCAATAAAAATTAGCAAACAGACAAGAACAATATCCCTACAGAAGAATCAAGTTTTGGTGGATGTTGTTTTGGATCGACAGAATAGCTTTTTTGCTTTTGGCATTATCATGGGTTTGTGTAGGAAGACAAAGTAACGCGGTCGCCCTAGGGTTTCTATTTAACTTTGCCGACTTGAATTTCCTTCTCAAGTGCACTGCTGTACTTCACTTGGTGTTCTTCTACGGATGGATGTTTTTCAAGCATGTGGATGATCTATTCCAGGTAATGGTTATATTATAGTACAAAACTAGAAAATAATTTCGCGACGGAAAGAATACATATATATTATAATACAAAAATAGTCCTACCCCAGTTTTGAGATTTTTAGTACTACACTCAAAACTTGATGAAAAACTTTTTTCTTTTTTTCTTTTTTTTGATAACAATGTGAATTTTATTGCTTCCAACTGTACGAGATTTATAAAACGGAGGCCTACTTCTATTAAAATCAAGTCATACAAAATTTTGGGTGTATTCCTTACCCAACTAAGAATCGAATGTCATCACTACTACCATTTCTACAATGGTATTGCGTGTTCCACTTAACCTCTTGCTGCACCATTTCAATTCTCTTCTGAATGGACATTTTATGAGTACCCAATTTACGTTCATTTCGCTCCCTCCAAACATTGTAGATAATAGCCACCAGACAAGAATGAAGAATTTTCTGTTTCACTTTCCTGAACCGCCACATATGCCTTAGTTGCTTAAAACTTCTGTTAAGATCTTTCAACTTGGTGGAAATACCCAACCAGTTAAGCACGCCTTTGGCAATTCCCTGTACATAGTCACATTCAAAATAAAGATGGTCCAAAGTTTTAGTAGCAGTAAAACAGAGTTCACACGCATCATCTGCATTAAGTAATCCCATTCCCTTCAAACGATCCTTTGTTAGTAACTTTCTTTTCCAGGCCATCCAGCAAATGACACTCTGTTTTGCTATACAGTAGGAATTCCAGATCAGTGATTTATTATTATGTTTCATCTGAGGCCCTCTCATCAAGTCATAGCACTTCTTAACAGTGAAAGCTTGACCTCTACTAGACCATATCTGCGCCTCTATACCTCTTTTAACAACGTCTTTCTGCTTCTTAACTTCCTCCAATACCAACAACAGTCCACAGGAGGTTCATAATTCCACACATTCTTCCCTTTTAAATTATGTACCCATCTTACCCATAAGCTCTCTTTCTTATTTGCAACATCCCAAACTTGTTTACTCAATAGAGCTTTATTCCATAACTTTGGTTCTTTTACATTCAGCCCCCCTTCTAGCTTAGGCATACAAATGTCATTCCAACTTACCAAAGCTACTTTTTCCCCCAAAAAAATGCTCTACAAATCTGTCCTATTTGTTGCAACACTTTCTGAGGTATAATAAACATACTACCCCAGTACATATGCAAGTTAAGTAATACAGAACTAATCAAAGTAACCTTACCTGCATATGACAGATTTCTCGAGCTCCAGCACTTCAACCTTGCTATCAGCTTTTTCACCATAAACTGGCAATCACCATGAGACCACACAGTAGGCGATAAAGGAATGCCTAGGTACTCCATCAAAAAACTACCAACCTCAAAACCCATAATATTCTGAATTTTCTTCTTCAATTCATCAGAGCAGCCTCCAAAGTGGATACTTGACTTGTGGAAATTTATAGCCAAACCAGACGTAGCTCGAAAATGCTCCAATAACTTCTTGATCTTCGTTACAGTGATCTCATTTGCCTTGCTGAGAATAATTAGATCATCTGCAAAAACTAGGTTAGTTATTTGCAGCTTTTTACATTTCGGATGAAACTTAAAATCCTTGCCGCTGGATCCCTTTCTGAATGCTCTCGACAGATATTCCATCACCAATACAAATAGAAGCGGGGATATGGGATCCCCCTGCCTAAGCCCTCTCCTTCCTTGGAAATAACCTGCCACGTTTCCATTAAGATTAAAAGAGAAAGAACACGATGTTACACATGTCATGATCCAACCAATGAATCTTTGTAGAAACCCTAAATGTACCAGTATTTCCTGCAGAAAATCCCAGTTAACCGAATCGTAAGCCTTTTTCAAGTCCACCTTTATGAAACAGCTTGGCTGACAATGCCTTCTCTTATAAAGACTTAACATTTCATGTGTAAGCAAAACATTATGCAGGATCGACCTTCCTTTAACAAATGCCCCTTGGTTGAGATCCACCAGACTGGGAAGTACTTCATTCAACCTGTTGCAAAACAACTTTGAGATAAAAAGTGTTGCAACACGAAATTGGATGGTATTCGGTTGCATCCGTCGGAGCATCTGTTTTGGGGATAAGTGATATCAAGGTTGCATTAACTTGTCGAAGAATCCTCCCCGTCCGAAAGAATTCCAGTACTGCTTCGGTTACATCCTCTCCCACAATCGTCCATGCACTTTTGAAGAATTCACTATTAAAGCCATCCAGGCCAGGACTTTTCTGAGAGTTGATACTAAACATAGCTTCTTTTATTTCTGATTTTGTGAAGTCTCTAATCAAGCAAAACTGCTGCTCTATGTCCAGTTTTTTCCTAACTTTGAAACTTCACTATCAGCTGGTTCCCTAGCGATGCTTGTACCTAACAGATTTTCATATTACTCTGTAAAATGCTCCTCCACCAGTTCCCACTGTTCCCCAATTTTTCCATTTGGTTTAACAAAAGACCTAATCTTGTTCCGATTTTGTCTCTGCGTCAAACAAGAATGGAAAAACTTAGAATTCATACTCCTTCTTGAATCCACCTTTCCTTAAGCTTTTGTCTCCAAAAACTCAATACAGCATTCTTCGTGTCAACATACTCTTCTAACGCCTTCTTTTCATCTTCTTGAAGTCTCAGATCCACGGGGGTCTTTTCGAGCAAAAGTTGAACTTCTTCTAGTTTTTCCTGGCTGAGTATCACCTTAGTCTCAATATCCTTGTAAAACCTATTGTTTAGTTCTTTCAATTTTTTCTTCAATTTCTTCATTTTTTGAACGATTCTGAATCGAGCACATCCTTCTACTTTAGTCTGCCAAGCTTCTTCGACCACTTTCTTATACAGTGGATGTTGTGTCCACATGTTAAAGAATCTGAAACTTCGCTTCTTGAATTTTTCATTAGTTCCCTCCCTTAGAAGTAGTGGATTATGTGGTCAGAGATTCTAGCAGGTAAAACTATAGCAAAACACTCCAAAAACTCCTCCACCCATTTATCATTAACTAAGACCCTGTCCAGTCTAGATACAATTCGATCTGTACCAACATGTTTATTGCACCAGGTAAACAAACCACCAAAAGTAGGCAATTCTCCCAGTTCCACTTCTTCAATCACTCTTTGAAACTTATCTGCATCCGTACTAGGTTTGCCAATTCCCCCAATCTTTTCCTCTTTCCTCAAGACACAATTAAAGTCCCCTAGCATGATCCATGGCCCTGCAACCCTACATTGGCTAAGATCATGCCATAGTTGAGTTCTCCCCTGCGCCTGTGCATCAGCATATACTAGAGTCATGTCAAACTCTTTCCCACTATACATCACCTGAACTCTACAGTGTATCCATTGCCTGTCACAATGCTTAATTGAGACCACATACTCCTGTCTTAACCAAACCAACAGGATTCTACCTTTACTGTTAGTTGCATGGTTATCAATATAATCAAACTAGCTCCATTTCTTCTGCATCAACTCATCCACCGATTCCTTACTTAGCTTCGTTTCTAAAAGTTCTCCAATTCCAACTTTATTAACAGTGAGGGAGTGTAGTACCTCACTGTGTTTCAGGGGACTGTTAATTCCCCCCACATTCCAACATAAAATGCTATTCATGGTTACTAGGCCTTGACAGGCTACTAGTTCCCTGATAGCAAATAGTGTTGACTGCTCTCTCTTTATCACCTTTTCTTCCTTCTACAACTCTAACCCCTTTCCGATTGAGTATTTGAATACTCTCTCTGCTTCCTTTAGTCTTCATATTATCTGGTGTACTCATCTTGTTTCCCTAGTACTGCTGCTGACCAATATCATCCTTCTGAGGCAGAGTTCTCTGATCTAACACCAGGACCTTATCTTTTTTGGTACCATCCTTAGATAAGATCTCCAAGTTGGCACTTAACTCACCCTCTTCTTTCTCTGCAACCGTCTTATCAGCTTGCTCAGTTCTGCTAATCAGGTCTTGGGACACTTCTACCTTCCCCTTATCTTTCTCAACCACTTTCCTCTTCTGCTCATTATCTTTCAATGCTCTACAAGTATTCGCCTCATGACCAAACCCTTTACACATCCCACATTTCACCGGCTTCCACTCATATCTGATTTCTTGTTCCTGCAAACTACCCATCTCATCTTTGTACCATATCTCCTTCGACACTGTATCTTGTATCTCCATTTCCACAAGAATTCTGGCAAATCCAGTATGCATTCTCTGAGTAGTCATGTCATCCATTTCTATCAATTTCCCAATGGTACTGATCATTCGGCTCAAGATAGTTCCTGTCCAATACCTAAGTGGCAATCTAGGTAATTGAATCCATACAGAGACTCTCTTGATGTCCTCCATATTGAAATCACGTTCCACACTCTAATCTTTTACTATGAACGGCTTACTGTTGAAGTGATATACACTCTGCTTGAGTATTTACTCCTTGCCATTCATAGTAGTAAACCTGACTACATACACTCCATTGGCTAACAAAAGGACTTTGTCTACTCCCAACATACCCCAATTCCTCCTAATAAAACCATTTACAACTTGGAAGGGAGGATTAGCCCCCCAATATGTAACAAACAATCGACTGCCTCCAATAGTTTACTACCTCCTGTGTTTCTTGCTTACTAATCTTTGCAATTGCTTGATCATTCACCATGTTTGGCTCAATAAAGGTCAATTTCTTTTCAGACTATTGCAATTTATCCAAATTAATAGATTTCCAAGCATCTGATTCCTCCGTTAACCCTAAATCTTATCCCAATTCAATACCTCCCTTCCCTTGGTTCTGTGAGGAATCCCCAATCTGAATTACCCTCTGGTTACTCAATTTTTCCATCAAAGAAATCTCAATTGACGAAATTGAACTACGAGATGTCAAATTAGGGTTACTCACCTGCATCTTTTGCCGATATGTACTCAGAGGGCTTGCCTTCTCCTCGATTGGTGCTTGAGCTTCCTCACCTTGTATGCCTTTCACTTTCTTCTTCGTTTTCCCTACCATCGCAGTCGTTGGAGCGTCGAGAAGATCGAAGAAGTTCGCACACAGCGAAGGTGTTTTCTTTTTTTGTTGGGACCAAGGTAGTATTACTATTGGTTTGATTCAATTTTTTTTAATTGGTTGTTTTTGTTAGGAGGAGAAGAGTGAGCAAGACTCGGATCATGAGGTAACGGTTGTTTGGTTCTTTGGTCCCTTGTTGGAAAGTGTTCCACTCTTAATTTTGGATCTCTTATTAGGTCGTTGTGATTATGGCTATGAACATTATGGTCAACCGATGTTGAATTTTTATTTCATCATCATGGTTCCCATGTTGAACATAGCCTTAGCATTGTTCGAAAACTTGGATTTTCATGATCATCAAAGTCAGGTGCGTCAATGAGTTCTGTATTCTTTTGGGTCTACATTATTTTTACTCCTTTTGTAAATATAAAGGATATATATCTATATATATATATATATATTTATATATTTATATATACATCTAGTTTGTAAATTGTACTCCCTCTATCCCACAAAAATAGTCCAGTTTCACAAAAGTCAAAATTAATTAAATTAAAATGACTTAAATATCCAAAAGAGTAGTGGTAAGGAAAACAAGGTCCACTTTCTTTGATTTTTATTTTTTTTAGTTTTCTTCCATTTTTTCAAACGATTATATCTTTTAATACATGAATAATTAAAAAATGTGTTATATATTAAATTAATCTACATAACGAGATCTTCCATCAAGGTCCATTGTCAATATTTTTTTAGATAAAAATTTTGATCCAATTTAAGTTGTAAAATAAATACATATGTAGTTAACTTTTATACAAATAACTAGAAGAGGCATTAGTGGAAGTTAGGAGCATAAAATGAGTTGCAAATTCGGTGTATTGACCAAATTAAAAAAGTTGTACATTTTCAAACTGGACTATTTTTCTGGGACGGAGGGAGTACCAAAAAACAGTTTATATAGTGTAATGTAACTTATTTTTCTGCGATGGAGGGAGTAATACCTTATAAAATACCAAGTGATTTAATTCAATCTAATTGGTTGGGCGGGTTTTATATATATACATACTAGTCTTTTATGTGTCGCGCGTTGCGCGACCAATGCACTTAAACATTCTTTTTGCTCTATTGTTTTATATGAATTTTAGTATAATCCACCTTTTTTTCAATTTTTCTCTTTACGCTTAGTAGTGCTAACGAATGTATTCTTTCATGCCTTTTTAACAGTTAAGAATCCAGTAACTTTGTTATCTCCAATGCGAAATCCCGATCACTCGATCACCCATAACGCAAATATATATCTAAAACATCACTTAATTCTTTCAGGAAAGTCTGCACAAAAAATCTTAATTTGGTCTTCATTTTCATAAAATTCTTTCAGGAAAGTATGCACAAAAAGTGTTAACTTGGTCATCATTTACATAGAATCTACTACGCTCTTTGTAGCATCTGGTAGCTTTTGTTTAGATCCGAATATAAATCAAAATTCAGTCAGTAATTTCCTAATCATTGTTCTATTTTGGTATAGGGCATAATCACATGTTGATGGTGAGGGGGTTGGGCGGCTGGGAGTGTAAAAATGAAGGGAGGGTAGCTTCGACGGTGAGTGGGGGTCATACTATTTACTGAGTAATCTTAAGAATTAAGTGACATTTTAAATTTGGTTTGATTAAAAAATATCAAGAAATGTCTGAAAGAACTTAAATTCAAAACTCAGAAATATCCAGAGTCTAGATAAATTCAACATAGCAACACATTTCCTGATCTCAATTTAACTGAATAAGGGCAGGTTGGATCAAAAACCATATGTTGCAAGTTCACTTCTTTCCACTCTTTTTTAGCCCCATGTGTCAAGGGCTCCCTTTAACCGCTTTAGCTTTGAGCTCTTTAAGCACCAGCTTTAACGGGAGAAGGGCTCTCACGTTCGGTGGCAGCGTGACCAAAGCATACAAAAGAGGCGCACGCAAGGATAATGTTTTCTTTCCAAAAGCCAGGTGGAGTTCATGATTGGTTCTTTGGTTTACTAAGTGGTACTTATTGCATGGAGCCCCTCTCATGAGCTTTTCTTCGTTCTTCTAACCCAAGAGAAGAAGGGTGAATCCATTGCTATTCATAGAAGTCGATAAAGAACCCTTGTCCTTTCATTGCCAATAACATCAGTTATGCTCATCCGGGCACACTATAATCCTCTTGTACAGATCTTTTTTTTATCCTCTATAACAGCTTATTCACCTACAAAGAGTAGGTTTCAAAAGCAAGAAGCAACACCAAGAAAAAGATCACAAGCTTACTTCAATAAATCAAATTTTTGTTCAAATAAAAAGGACGGAAAATCCCAGATTGGAAAATGCAGTGGAAGACCCAATCCCATCATAGCAGCAAAACAAATCTAACTAATGTACACATAATTTGGGTGCAAAGTAATATACTGGCTAGAAGTAACTGGAGAAGCTAAAAATACTAAATCAACTAAATAATATGGGGTAAATGTTATTGTGAAAATAAAATATCTGTGAAAACAAAGGCCTAGATTTGCATTATTTTCCAGCAAACAAGGACCAGAGCAATTTTAACAAATACAATAATTACAAACAAGCAAGAATTATGCCACAACACACACAAGTAGCGCATGATTTGGTCCATATCATCCCTACACTCCATAACATTGGAAAAAAATGATTAAAAGAAAAACTATTGTTTTCAAATGCGGAAAGACAATCAAGCTGACAGTTAAAATGAATCTATTTACTCGGAAAATGAAAAGCCAGACAAAATCAAGTTCGAACACAGCTGTACATGCATAACATCTAACTTAAAAGTTGAAACACCGTAAAAGTTGATCCCCAAAATCCAAATCGCCAAATCCAATCTCAAACTGGAACTTACTTCGTCACCAAAATCATGAACTAAAAGCCTCATAAGTTAAACTATCTAGCAAATAATGTACTCAATCCTATAATCTAAACCCCTGAACTCCATCAAAATTTAGCATAAAACATCTATGTTTGAAAATTATAACCTCAGTTGAAGCTTCATTCCAGATTGAGTGATGATGATAGCACATAAATATTTTTCTAAATATCACAGGAAGTGAAAAAGAACCAGAAGAAGAATCTGATGGCTTGGAGATGCTGATTGAGTCTATTTACTTGATTCCGATGGCACATGTGAACTGTGAATCTTTCTAAAGCACAAACCACAAAAGGTCCAGGATGATGCAAAATGAGATGAATGGATTATATCGTAGATCCAAATGACTAATAACCAGAGCTTCGTTCTTAAATCCCACGAATTGGATAAATCCTGCACCATCTTTCTCAAACTTCACACCATAATTCTGACGATATCACAAGAAAATTGGTGTTGTGTGAGAGGATGCAAAATATCGAATTTGAGTAATAGAATTATTTACAGCAAAAATTCAGGTATAATAAATAAAAGGAAACCAGATAAAGAAAATAATTGAAGTAAAATAAGCATAACAATGTATTATGTTTAGAGAAATGAGAGTGTCATAAAATGGGTAAAAACAAAATGGGACAAACATGAGCTATCTACAAACTTAACTCAGTTCATAATCTCTTTGCCGATCAAGTAAAGAAGCAAAAACTATATTCTGAAAAAAGAATACATGCAAGCCTTCTCTTTGAGACAGAAAAACTACAACATTGTACCACCTTCACCCAATGGCCGCTTGCACTACCTTCAGCGCCAAAGACCATATCAAGGGTAGAAAAATTACAACGAAATCAGAGAATGAGTATGAAAGTCCACAAATATGGAAGACACAACATGTATCTAGTAGTCCATTTTGTAATGAGTTGCAGTTTAATGGATATATAATACATAAAACTGCTTAAGTTAGTATTATGTATACAAGTTGAATTCAAATTACTTGCCTCAAAACTTTTTAAATGCCAGAACAGAATAAATTAAGTTAATCTTAATTGGAAACATTTGTTTCTGGGATTCAACATAAATAAACAAGAAACTTGAAACGCATGAAGAAAAGAGAAAGTACAACCGGACTAACATTCAAGCACAGAACCCAAGACAATGTTCTTGCAGACAAACTGAGGGCAGGGTCTAGTGATCAAGAACAACGTATTGCCTTTAACCAAAATTAATTTGAAATGGTGTTCAGAGCTAATTCTAGGCGCAAATATAACCTAGCACTGTAGTCAGTCCACTCCAAACATAACAACACAAAAGACCCAAATCAATAAACATGTACAGAGTATAAGCATAAAAATAACATACATCTTCTTCTCTGAAGTTGGATCGAATTGACCTGGGCTCGATGATTTCGATTGGTGTTTTCCCGTAATTGGCAACATGCGGCTTCAGTTTTAACTCAAAAAATCAGAATTTTAATGGGGTTTATTGTTATCATTTTCTTCTCCCTCACCGATTGGCAGGTTTTACATAAATTTCACTATTTTAGTTTGTGCAGTGTTTTTTGAACTGATTAAGATTTAAATCCGAAAGTCCCAAGTACAGTTTTCGTCCCAATATTACTTCATTATCCACTCAAATATGCAAATTATGATGAATATACATATGCAAACTATAATACAATAGTCAAATAAATCAGATTCAACGCCTCTAGAAAAATTAAGGGCCAACTTTTTGTAAAAATTGCAGAACAAAAGCACCATGTCAGTAAACTCCTTATATTGCTTCAATGACTGAATTATCAGCTTTTGAAATTAGGATAACTATTCAGAGGTACAGAAACTTCATACCTTTAAGAGCAGTTTTGTATATAAGAGCAGTTATACATCAAAATCTCTGAAGGCGCAAAGCAATTGACTTTGAATCTTGTTCGAGGGTACTTTTGGATCGGAGATAGGAGCAAGTAGAATCAACTGGAAGACGAATTCAAGAGAAGAGCGTAAAAGAGAGCGGAGGTTGAGAACAACGGGGGGAGGGATTTTTGCCTTATGTAGGAGTTTCAGTTTGGGAAGGAAGACGGAGAAAAGGACATCGTTATTACTTCTTATTTTTATTTTTGATGGCTGGGGTTTTTTTTCCCAAATTTCTTAATAATTATTAGTGAAAAACTGAAATTATAAATTTTCGTTTTTACCCCTAATAAGTCGCTGACGTCATATCAACCCCATCCGACGGACGAGATCGCTTTGACGATAGTCCTTAATATTTCTTGGGTATTATTTCTTGCCTACTGTGCCTTTTACTTTTATTTAAGTATAAGGATAAACTATCCCTTGGGTTTCTAATTCTTCCTAATTGGCCAAAACAGGAGATGGAGATAGAGATAGAGATAAGTACAGAGCTACTAGTGTTTTGGGTTGAATGATTAGGCTTTTGTGTTATGCAATGGAGTTGGTTTTATGATGATAGGACTTTGGCTGAGAAATTTTCAGGTAACTACTATAGCCTCCTCTATTGTTTTTGGATTTGCACAAATTTGTTGTACTGCTTTTCACACGTGGAAATAAAAAACAATGGCTGGAAAAAATGGGTATGGGTTCGTAAACAGAGTCCGGAGTTCCCCTGGATTTTGGTCTGAGCCACTAGCTCTGGTAATTTTTGCATTGGGGATTCAACTTGTTCAGTCAGCAAATGATCATTCTCAATGGCAGATTCAGTCAGTGAATGATCATTCTCAATGGCAGATTGCGGTTTTGGAATTTTGCTTTGTGATTCTTTTTCCTTTGCTGAACATATACGTTGCATGGTCCGGTTATGCAAAGGAATTTCTATGTGGTGGTGTTCTTGAAGAGACATTATTGCCTGATGAAAGACAGAGCAATGGTACCGAAAAGTTTGTAAAGGAAGAAAAAGAAATCAGGCCGCCCAACATGATGGTGCCTGCTACCCTAATTGATGATTCTATTGCCCCAAAAATTGCCAATAATAAAGAAGAAATTCAAACTTACCTCAACAATGGCAATGATGATGATAGCGACAAAATCAACAATCTGAAGCTGTCTCCAATGATGATGACGGTGATCATAGCAATGAAAATCAGCAACCTGAAGCTGTTTCCAATGCTGATGATGAATCGCGATGATGGCGCAAAAAATCAGCAATCTGAAGTTGTCTCCAATGGTGATGATGGTGATGCTAGCAATGAAGATCAGCAATCTGATGCTGAAGGTATGCTTGATAAAATACAGAGAGGATCCGGAAATGCTCTGGAGAAGATACAAGATAAAGGGTTGACGGCAAAAGAGAAGCAATCAGGGGAGATATGTTGGTACGATTGTGAAAATCGAAACAGCAATTCATTGGTGAATTGCCAAAGAAGCTTCGTACTGCTACTACTGCACTGTTGGAACAAATTCAGAAAGATCGCCAAAAGATGAAGGAGGATTATTACCGATGTTTGAAGGAATAAAACAGTGAATTCGCAAAGGAGGAAGAAATCCGACGGCCTAATATGAAGGCGGCTGCTGCTACTACCCTAACTGATGAGTCTACATCCCAAAATGGTGCCAATGATGATGAAAAAGAAACTGAAACTTATCTCAACGACGATGATGATGGCAATGATGACAATGAGGATGACAGCGACGAAAACCAACTCTCTGATGAGCATGTGGCAAGGTTGGAAACTATTTCACGTGTTTTTTATGAAATGCTGAGGGAATGGGAAAAGGTTTCAGGGAAAATACAAGATGAAGGGACAGCAATACTTTACGAAATTTCGGATAAATGTTTCGAGGATTTCCAAGAATTGAAAGATGAAATTGATGAATTGCAAATGAGGGTTTGTACTGCCACTAATGCATTGTTGGAAGAATTTCAGAAAGATTGCCAAAAGTTGAAGGAAGAAAGCAGTGAATGGGAGATGAAGAAAGAGGATGATTACCAATGTCCCAAGGAGCAACACGCTGATGAATTATCAACTACGCTTTCCACTTCTACTTCTAGTTCTACGACAGAAGAAAGTTTTCTGAAAGAGAGTCAAAAGACAGAGGAGTAGAACAATGAATTGGTGGTAATGAAGGAGGATAACCAACGTTTGAGAGAACAGATCAGGGAACTGGAAATGAAAATTTGCGCCGCCAATACATCATCTGAGATCTACCGCAACCTTCTTCACGACTGCGTTTTTTGTGATCACTAGCTAAACCTTTCTGTAGTGTTCTTACGTGGCGCGACCTTACCTTAACATTCTTTTTACTATCTCTGTCTCAAAATAAAGGACTCTTATCTTTTGAGATGGAATGAGATATTACTATAAATTCGATCTATATACAGTAGTTCATAACACTCTTGTCTGTTTTAAGAGTAATATTGTTATCTTACTACGCAATTTCTTTTGTCCATTAAAATAGTAAACCCTCTTTTCAATTGTTAGTTTGAGTTTACCATTTATAGGGAAAAAGAAAAGAAAGAAAAAATGATTCAGGTAGGAGTCCTTCCATTCTAAAATAAGAGTCATATTTGTTAAACAAAAACTGTACAATAAACAAGGAACTGAGTTAGCTCACTCTATCTTTTTAATTTATTTATTATTTAATTACAGAATGTTGTTTATGATGAAGGTGATAATTTGATGGAGGATGGTTTGATGTTCCGAAATAGCACTTGGTGAGATGGAATGTTGGAAACAGATTCTTCTGGTAAATTAATACAGTACTAACTTTCAACAGTCTGTATGCATTATGATCATAAAAAAAGATTTAATATATGGATTCTATTTGATCGTCAACTGCAAAAGGTTGAAGAAAAATGGAATTTGTGGCGATCTTGTTGAGTGAGAAACCTTGTTCAGGAGACCAAAAATGTTGAATATGGTGAAATGCAGAGTTGCAAATACCAGAGCTAAAACCTTAATGATGCAATTATTCACAAAAGAAAGAAAAGGTTATGCCGCGAAATCAGTCTGTATTTTGATGCAGTAGTGTTGACTCAGCTGGAAACCCAAATGCAGCTAGAGAATCACTTTTTCCTATGCTCAAAAATTGAAAATGATAAGAACTTTTGTTATTCAAAACAAAAAAGAAAAAACAATAAACAGGTTATGGTTTTGAATTTCTTTTTCTTTTTTGTTATATTTACATTGTTGTTGCCTCCTACTCATATACATACACACATGGTCACATTCTTCCCAATCTAACAGCAAGAAGAATTATCCACAACGGAACAACAAAGTTCATGAATGGCACTCACTATGTTCTGATTGAACCATTTCCAAGGAAGGAAACTTTAACACTACTTCATAGCAAGATTTTCATTTTGCAGATATCAAGGCACAGATGCACAGATGAAAATGGCAAGTTTGCAACTGATTATGACAAATTTGCAGATATCAAGATCCAATCAGAGGATAATAGCAGGCCACTCACAGTTAAATACCTAGCCACCAGCAATCAACAGATGAACATGTCATAATTTTATCAAATCCAGTATCAGTCTGGGATTACCTAAACGTTTTCTGCAAATATATCCAGTCTCTAATGCAAACCACTGAAAAATGGCAAATGTATATAACCATAATAGCATGCAGCAATCATCCCTAGAGGATGGTGACAGGTATGAACATTAGGATTTCCAAAACAACTAGTCCTTCGTACTCCTTAAAAACAGTAGAAAGAGGTCACACATTTAAAAAAAAAAAAAAAAACTCAGAAAAACTAATCATTTCAAGTATCAACCGAAACATCTTCAACAGTAATCGCAACTATCCACATAAATGGAACTGTTGATTCAAAAAGACCACAATCATGTATTGAGAAAGAAGAACTCAACAGTATTTCAAAAGGGACCAAGATTTCCAGTATACTTCAGTTTCTTCATAAATCTAAATAAACTTTGTTTCTATGTCAGATAATACTCTAAAAAGCATTTTGCACAATAGTTAAAAACAGAAAAAAAAAAAAAAAAAAAAAGCACCTGCCTCGGAGAAAAGAACTATGACTCCGACCTCTTGAATCATTGATTGTCCCTTTGGCAATCAACTAAGGCAGTTGCTTCTTCTATTAACAGAATTCTGCGATTGGTTTACTGTCCCTCGTTCCAGCCAGGGAAGCTGCCTCTCTCCAACTCACCAACTATCTCCACCATCAATAACTGAATTAACGTTTCAAAGGAAAGGTAGAAACTACTTTCTCAGACTTATAAGATTTTGCTGAAACTACTTCCTCAGGATGACAATACTCAGGACTTTTTAGTACTATCATCTAAGGGAACGCAGAACTGATCTTCTGGAAAAACATCACCTTCTCGTCCGAATTTCTTCAATGTAGCTTCACAGAGTTCATCAAGAACGACAGGGACCAACCACCAAAAAAATGTTGAGTGGTCAACTTCATGTGGCTCTCAGTTGTCATTCTGTCTACTTTTGGTTTTGGTTTTCCATTGAGCATTAAGCAACAGTTAAAAAGGTGCTGTCCTGGACATTGATGGGGCGTGTGAGGACATAGTAAAGACATAGCACAATTGCTGCCTTTTGTTTTTCTTTCCGGTGAGGCAGTATTCTACATGCAATTTCAGCACCAATTTGTAGCATTCACAGAATCATACAAATATGGATATTCCACCACTTAACCAACACAGGTGACCAAATTTGTAAAAGTTTGTGATGTTTCCGTTCTAAATTAAAGCCTATTCAACAATCACTGAGAGTGGCTTTTCTGTCTCATTCTCTTCACTCTTGGCAACATCAATACCACCAGCAAAAGATGCCATCTTCTCTGATAAAGTACGTAGAGCCTCATTCTTGTTTGCCAATTCCATAAGTACTTTGATCCTCCTGAAAGAAACATTACTGGGCTTCTGTCCTTTCTCGACCATCTGCAAGAATGACCTCTCAGCTTCCTGCAGCTTCCCCAAGTCACAGAGCAAACCAAACAAAACGTCAGATACCAATACATAAGATCCAAATCCCTTCTGAATCATATCATTCCAAAGCTCAAGGGCCATCTCCACCTTCTCGTGCTTCCTCATCAACCTGATTAAGAACATACAAGATTGTGTATTGGGCAGACATCCGGTTTTCTTCATCCTTTGGTACAAGCTCCATGAACTTTCCAAATCATTGCACCAGAAAAAAGACCTCAAGAAAACATTGTAAGTAGTAGCATTTGGACTCATCCCGTTCCTCACCATCTCATCCATCAAATTATATGCATCCCCTATCCTCTTTGCTATACAGTAATTTCGGATAGCAGCATTATAAGCAGCCACATCAGGGTAGCACCCATACTCTTTCATATCTTTCAAAACATCCCTCGCCTTATCTGGTTGTCCTACTAATCCCAACCCACCAATCAAACTTGTGTACGTAATCACATCCGGACTAATGTCTCTATCCCTCATCTCGTTCACCACCCTATATGCTTTCTCTATTTCTCTTCCCTTGCAGTAAACATCCACTAAACAATTGTAAGAAACAACATCCGGCTCAACACCCATCTCTTTCATTTCTTCAAAGAATGCTTCAGCCTCATCCGCTGATTTCCAACCGGACAATAATGTATTAAAAGTCTGCAGATTTGGCCTAAACTCGTGCTTCAAACTATGGTACACATTCCTAGCATCACTCATACTCTTCTCTTGACACAATGCCCTTAACAATGCATTATAACAATTAGTATCGAAATCCAACACGAGCCTCCTAAACTTCTTAAACGACGCCACCGTATGCCTAACCGAACAAACCTTAGCAATTCTACCTAAAACCACTTGAACAGTTTTCGGGGTAATCAGAGATCGATCCTTTTTCTTCACTTCCAAAAGCAAACCCCAGATACACTCAAATTGCCTACTCCTACCCAGAATATACAACATGGTATCCAAAGAAAATGCAGAATGAAAGAACCCCTTTTTCTTAGAGGTAAACCTGAAGAACTCAAAAGCCTGTAACGGGTTAGAGTGAGAAAACCTGACCCTTTTGAGAACCATATCAATCAACTCATTTGTGAAAGGAATCGATCTTGCCGCTGACTTTAAAGACAGGTGAAGATCAATTGAGGTTTCTGAAGTTGTTATTATACGAAATACTGTCTCTACGTGGTCTTTCAAAGCAGGGTTGGAAGCATCATGAGATGGGCCATTGTTCTTTTGGGATACAGAACTACAAAAGAAGAGAGAACGCAAATAAGCATACCTTCTTGAAGCTATTGCTGCTGATATTGTTGCAGAATGAATACGAAGCGGGTTTTGCACCAGATTACCGAGCATTCTTGCTTTGTGATTATTCTGAGAAATCAAAATTCAAATGAACAGATACCCAATTTTCATCTCATTTCCAGGCAATTTGCAAGTACCTCGTAATGGAAGATTGTATCTATTTCTTCATCTTTTTTAAGCTTTCAAAAACAAAAATTTTTCACTTTGAAATTATACAATGGGGTGTAGGAGGGAGAAACGAGAACCGCTTCAGCTAGGAAATTGGGCCATATTTTTGGACTGGATCAAAAAGGAGGAAGGCCCAACTCAATGAATGGACTCACAAATCAAAATTAAAACCGAGTGAAGAGTTTTCGATTTGAGTGGCAACTTCGTAAATAAATTCATTACTGGATGCATTTGTTTATTAATTATTCAAAATACGTAAAATAACCCCCAATTTTTGTAAAACCTTTCTGGCGGAGTAACAGAACCGGCGAGGTGACGGCACTACCGACGACGATAGCGCCGATAACACTCCGATCTCCCATACTTTGTGCTTCGATTATAATTTCAAAATCTTAGTTATTATTCCTCTCAGTTGGATGAATTTCTAGGGTTTTTGATCGAGCGAGGCCACACGAATTTGATGCTTGCATTGTGGTAAGGTAATGCGGAGGTTTTGATTCGAATTTGTGGTTTTGTCATGTTCTTTCAAGCCGAAGGTTGATTCCTTCGTTATTAAGGATCTAAGAATGCTGTAGGTTTCAACTCTCTTGGATATTTTCGGAATTGTCTACTTAGGGAATTTAGTGAAAATAAGATCAGCCATAAAGATTACGACTTTAAAGCTTTTCTTTTTTTGGCTCTTTTTTGTAGTTTTATCTGATTCCATGCTCCTTTTCGCGTGATTGCTGGAAATTTTCTTTGTGATCGTGAGATATGAAGAATGTTGGTATCCATTATAAGTTTTGTCATGGTTTCGGAGCTTGTGATGATGAGCTTTCTGTATGTTGGGTGCTTATGAGATCAGTTTTTAGGTTTTAATCACCCGTTACCGCGTGTTTTTTTTTAAACCCGTTTTCCTTTCCCTTCATTGGAATCGTGGGTATTCCATAGTGGAACTGGTATGCACTTGCTTTTTAACATATTGATTGCGAAAGCCATAGTTGATTGGTAGAAGTTCCTAGTTCACTTCGTTTGCTAGATTTCTCAAACACTGAGGTCTTTTGTTTTTTTTCGGTTAGAAATTGGATGTCTTACGAGTAGTCTATCTGTCTTCCTTATAATGATCAGGTGGTCTTAGCCTTGACAAGTGAGTTGATAGAAATGAATAGTCTTCATGTTGCAAACGGGGGTCAAAAGAGGCGTCTACCCCTATGGATGTCAGGTGATCAAGTTCAGAGTAAATCTCAAATTGGGAATTTAAACTGTACAAAAGATGATGACAAGGGATGCCAAGAAGATGTGGAAAGAGTTACAAAAGGCAGTAGAAGGCCCAAAACAAAGTCTCAGAAAAAAGAGACCGATGATGGAAAAGTCAAGTTGAAAGAATCATCCTCAACTGTACTTGTGAAATGTCGAGAGAGAAAGAAGACAAAAAGGGAAGTGGTGATTCAGGATGCTGACTGTATTGAGGATGGTGGAAGGAAAAAGAGAAAATGTAGGCAAAAAACTGAGACATATTTTGAGAGTGAAACTGAGGAAGATGTCGAACCTTTTCTGGAGGATGGAGAAGCCGAAGATCTTACAGTAGACGATTTGATGAGCATAGCAAAAGAGGTTACTCTTCTTTCTTTGTCATTCTAATTTAGTAAATTCTAATGTAGTGCCAGTACATCTATAATTGACAAACTCCCGTGTTTTCTGTAACGTGAACCCCAACCCGATATCTCTGGTCTGTTGCACACTAGTCCGTGTGACATAAAGTCTATAACAAATTCTCCTTGCATGTTTGAGTTTTTAGTAAATGGGTAATTTGAGGACTAGAGCATTTAAACAAGTTGAATGCTTTGTATGCATCTGCTTCCATCCTCCTTGGTTTCAACACATATACTGGTTTCGATTATGAAGCTTTTAGGTGCATTAAAACATAGAGAAAGTAATGGTTCTTATGTTAGCGGTGTATGTCCTTTGTGCAGTATGTTGAAGAAGATCATGATGCTCAAGTGCTTATGCCATCAAAGCAAAGAGATACAGCTGAAAATCGATCTCAGCATGTTGAAGTTGAAAGTGATGCTCCAGTGCTTGTGTCACCAAAGCGAAGAGATGCAGCTGAATATCGATCTCACAATGATGCCCAATCAGATAGCTTCATTGGTGTCACTGATACAAGCAGAAGACTGTTTGAAAGTCAGGGAACGAGTTCCTATAGCACAACTGAGAATCCGACAAGTGATACAGGTGTACCAGTGACTTTGTCTTCAAATCCTGTGCAAGCCATGTTAGATGTGTTGTTGGGTCCTTCACTCAAGAAAACCCAAGAGCTAGAAAAAGAAAGAAGACTTAATTCACAGAACACAAGTTTCACCTATGAATTGGAAAAACAACACAGCAGTGTCGATGTTGCTGAAGAACCAATTGTAGTGGTGGCTAAGAAGAAGAGCAGTCTAAAGGACAAGGTGGCAATGTTTCTCGATTAACCTGCTATCATATACTATCTCGATCTTGCTTTTGGTCAAAGTTCAATGGTGTTGCGGGTATATATGCCCTCAGTCATTCATTTTGTTGGTTATATTTTTTGGGAGGCTTTAGGCCTTGTATAGCTAGACTAGAGGAATCAGCAGAATTAGGTTGTAGCTACCTCGCTGATAATTGTGAACTAAGTTTACTTATTAGTATGAAATGAGACCTGTTTGGTCACCTCTCGGCCAATAGAATTCCTCGCCATTGACGCGAATCCGCGATCATGGATAGAATGAATCCTCTATGGTTCTTATATATTTCCAACTTATGGGTTGGCCTAGAGAAACTTCCAAATTTGAATAGGATTTGTAAATTGATTAGTTAAACCAATTCGTTTTAGGAATGGGTTTTGACCGAATTGTGTGTCAAGGGTCTTCATCAACCAATCCGTCGCCGAGGACTGCTGTCCTCGTCCATCAAGCTCTCTATGTTTCCTAAACTCCGGCGGTTTTTCCAACCATTGGCCCTATCTGGTCAAAAGCATAAAACATGCCGCAAGTGAAATTTATCCCCAAGAATTTAATAGATATGTTGGCTTCGTTGCCAGCCATGAAACTTGACAAGCTCTTCCAGAATGCCTTCATTTGTGAAGCCATCCACGGATCGCTTCCTCTCTTAGCCAAATATATGTGCTACGTCTACTTGACGCCCATGTTCCGGAACCCGAAAAGTCACTGGAGAACTGTGTGCCCATTTCAGACGGTGTTTCAAAGCATAAAGAAGCCATTGATAGGTTTACTCAGTTAAGACTTTTAGTCGAAACTTTTGACGGGAAGAAAGAAGTTAAATGTTATAGACTAAACCCCACATTCCAGTTAAATATCCGAAAACACATTAAGCAAGGAGGAGGAATTTTGCCAAGAAAGCCGGCATCATTGCCTTCCGGTGTCGCCCTGTGTGGGCTTCCCAGCTCGGAGGAGCTGGATACCTACGCAGCTAACCAATGGGAACGTTTCTTGCTGCATCTCATACCCTTCTCCGGCCAAGCCGAAAAGGCTACTGCAACAAACTTCTTCTGGATATAAATGCACAATTGTGGTACATCATCAGGGAATATATCACAATCTCTGAGAAGCGCGGAATGGACTCTGCAGATCTTATATCCTTTCTTCTGGAGCTAGGTTTTCATGAGACTGGAAAGGCATACAGTTTGAGCACATTAAGTAATGTACAACAGGCTATCATCAGGGATCTAGCTGATTTGGGATTGGTGAAACTACAAAAAGAAATGAAGATGAAGAAGGAAACTTTGTACTACATTCCCACAAAGTTAGCTAGTAATCTGCAATCCATTAGTACTACTACTTTATCAGATACATCTTCAAGAAAGCAGGGATTTCTTCTTACAGAGGTAAATTTCAGAATCTATGCCTATTCAACGTCGAAATTGCACAGCAAGATGTTGCGCCTATTCGCGAGGGTCGAATACCGGCTAGCTAACTTGATTGCGGGAGTGACTACAAAAGAAAGCTGTTGTAAAGCTTTTCGGAATGGTTTAACTGCAGAGCAGATTATATTTCTTTCCTTCAGCAGAACGTGCACCCTCATGTTGCTCAGAGAATACCTTCTGTTCCTGAGAATGTTACTAATCTAATCAGGCTGTGGGAATCATATCCCAATAGGGTTCAGACTACTAATCCTCCTCCTATTTATTGTTTGGAGAAGAAAGCATCATTAGTATAAGTACTGGTTTTAAGAATTATAATGAAGAATCTTATATTGCGTAGGATCCTATATAGTATGTAGCAAGAGAAGGTTTGATTTTTGCAAATGTTTTGCCCTTATCGCCCCATTAATTGTAAGATATGTCCATCATGAAATGATTATTCAGTTTAGATTTTTTATACAAATTATTTTAAAAATGAAAATCTAAACTTTCTGAGGATTATATCTTTACTGTCAATCAAACAAATGTTAGTAACACCAAGATGACAAATAAATGGCAAATAGTGTACAATTATTGGGAGAGGATAAAAGAGATGGTAACTACTCAGTTGAAACATGGTTTCTTCCTTTTTGGTTTGTGGAACTAAAGAATGAGAATGCGTCCAAATATGTACAGTTATCGGTTGCTCCCGTCCCAAAATGATTTTCAATTTTGCACCATTTAGCATAATGCATAGGGAGAAAATCCTTTTGGGACAGAAAGGGGATTAGATACCAACATCTGCTTGATTCGTTGAAGGCATGCCATTTCGGCAAAACTAAGACTAGCCAATTGAGAAATTGGTGTGTTTTGTCTACAAGAATTATTAACGAACCTGACCCTTTAACTAATAGTTGCGTAAAGTAACAAATTTCTCATTTCTTGTTCATCTCTTGGGGTGCCTTGTTGAGAAAAATTCCACCCCGCCATTCTCTTGATCTTGTACTCCCACTATTAGACATTTAAGCTTATCTCGAACATGAGCTACTGTAATTCAAAGCTAAGGTCAAAGCTACTGTAACTCAAGTTTATCAATGAAGTTCATGATGTTGAACCAAGAAAATAAAAAATGAAGATCATGGTGTCTTCAGAGCAGCGGCCAACTCAAACCCGGGCAAGCTGCGATATACCCAACCGGTATCCCTAGGTAAGGTTGACGGGTGAAATCCCAGAGCAATCAGTTCTAATTGCTCTGACCGGGAACAAACCTAGTAAATGAAGTAAAGAAACCAGCGGATAAAATTGCAACACATTTTTTCAACCGTTTCCTTTCCTTTCATCCTCCCAATTCATGCTTTTTCAGCAAAAAAGAATGGCCACAGAGTTGAAGAAACATACAGACAGGTTCAAAATGACCCCTTTAACTGGCAGCAAAAGAGATATGAAACCCTACTCAAATGGGAGATATGGTTACAAAATGTTACAAACCTTTACATCTATACAAAATTCCCAAGAGTCGGGTTGCGTAACTCACCCTTAAACATAAAGGGGATGCTATCCTATAAACATTACTGAGACCATTTTTCTGGTCATTTTTTTGTATACATCAAATATGGATCCTGAGCAATGGTTAGAACATCCGGCCTGTCAGCCTGGTTGTATGTTAAACAACGACGGATGAAGTCCTGAAAAAAGAAAAGAGAACATTAATCTCAGGAAGCAAATTTATGCAAAATTACACTTTTATTGTAGAAAGAAATACATAAGTTTTAGAATGACCAATGACAAATATGATGCACATAATGACACAAAGAAGACAAAAACAAGACGCATAATTATAAAACAATGTAGGTGCTGATGGTACTAAGTATATTAATCCCCCTTCAAGCAAACTCTCATAAAAAATTGAATATGTAAGACCTAAATGAATCGTGAGATACCAAACAAGGTTGATAGAATAATGATTAGAGAACGTGCCTTTGCCTCATTCGATACAGCAGGTCTAGAAGGAAATTCCACCTTGCGGGCTTTAATAATGGTATCTTCGCGTAAAATCCGTTCTTGGGTTTGGTCATGACCAAAAGGCCGCCGGCCAAACAGCATTTGGTATAAAAGAATTCCAGCAGACCAGACATCAACCTGCTTCCTCCAACAGGAGATAATGGCATTTATTATTAAGAAACTTCTAATTGCTAATATAACTATTAGATGTGCTGTTAAAGATACTTCTACTAAAATATAATAAAACAAAAACATTATAATTGGACAAGGCAAAATGTAATGCTCGGTTATCAACTCATTAATTTTTCTCGTCTAAGAAATATGCAAAAAATGAAAATGAACCAGTATCACAAACCTTCGAGGATATAAGAGGCGTCTTATTTAGCTCAAAGCACTCGGGAGGCAGGTACCTAAAATTAGACAAAACAACAACCCAAACTATCAAAGTTGTAACTTGTAACTGTTTCGAATATTCAGCAAAGAAAATCTGTAAACTCATTAGTGACAGCTATAAATTTGGAGTCAACAAAGAATGTAAATTGCTTCAGTCAGAGCTATAATTTTATTGACTCCACAATTAGCCATTCCTGATCAACTAGAAACACCATAAGCTCGCCTCCAGCATAACGGAATCGGTAAATGACATGCCACCCCTATGACCAACAATCTATCCTCTTAATAAGATTTAAAATTAGAGGACGACAGTTTGAACGCAACAGCAACATATCAATCACTATTTAGTGAAGTTAGTTGCAACAGAAACCACCATGCAAATTCTAGAATCCAAGAACCATTGACTGGGGCAAGCTTGCCTCCACTTCTACTAAAGCAGTAAGTGACTACAGGTACTACAAAAACTGCAGATGCAACAAAAGTTGCAGAGGTATTTATGATTGGATCACATTTAAAGTGGTAACCTTTGAAACGCTTACAATAGAGACAAGGGCCAAGAAATTATAAAATAAAATAAAACAGAAAAGAACAAAGAATTACAGAAAGCAACCAAGGGTAGAGAGAGCCCAAAAGAATTACTATTACTCACCAATAGGTTCCTGCTCCCTGGGAAGTCAGCTCCATGCCCTGGGATCCAACATCATCCTCCACAATCTTGCTAAGACCAAAATCAGTAACTTTAGCAACACCATATTCATCAAACAAAACATTTCCAGGCTTCAAATCATAATGGATAATCTTTTGTGATCTCTTGTTCAGATAAACAAGGCCACGGAATATCTGAACGATAATGATTCTTGCTTCTCTTTCTTGCAAAACAGGTGTTGCTTTGAGCACAGCATCAAGATCCTTGCCTGTACCAGAAAAATCATTAGAAGCAAGAGAAAGAAAACAAAATCACACCTCTCAAATTGAAATAGATAAAAACTAAATCTTCATGATCTTCTCAGATGCGACAGATGGAGTTCAGAAACATTTCAATCCAAGCACAAGTATTAAATAAGGCATACCACTGCAGAACTCCAAGATAGTGCAAAAAGTATTCTGGTCTATCTCAAAAATGTCCCAAAGGCGTACAATATGATTATGCACCAAGCTTTTGTGGATATTGTACTCCCTGATTGCATGGCGTACATAACTTTGCTTCTTCTCTTCACTCCACTGAGCATTCAGACCGTGAAGCTTACAAGCAACATATCTGTGCTCCACCAAGTCAAATGCCTACAAAGATTTTCTCCTCATCATCTCAATGAAGTTAAGTAGTGTAGAAGACAATTTTTGGTGTGTGGTTGGTGCTTTTGCCCGGCACTTAAACAGAAGCCTTTTCCCATTACAAAAGAAAAAGGGTAGCTTTGATAATTACCTTATAGACTTCACTGAATCCTCCTTTACCAAGAAGGTTTAAGAGAGCATAGCGGTGGTTCAAGATCTGAAAATTATTGAATCTCGACCCATCCTCATCTCTTATACGTTTCATTTCACGAATAAGTCTCGCCTTTTCCAACTCATAGCGATCTCTTTCTCGCATGATTGTTTCTTCCTCCTGAAGATAGACACAACTCAAACTACATCTACTTGAGCAAAGAAAGGATATATTCCCATTGAGAGTGAGAAAAGACTTACACGTTTGATGCAAGCTAAACGAGACTTGTATATTTCATCTTGGATGAGAGAATCATCTTCCTGAACTCCTGTCTCTGAATCAGTTCCGTCCTTATCTGCCATTAATGGTCACTGATCAGAACTGCTAGTGTATCAATTGTTCACGTTGAAAGTAACAGACTAAAGATTGATGACTGAGATGCCTTTAACATGCACGTCGGACTTTTTACGGTCTATCCTTTACAAGAAATAGCTGTTTAACTTCTAATACATATCTAGACTGCATGTTTGGAATGCATACAAAAATGACAGGCTCATAAAAACCTAGGTTTAGTTGATTGCACAAAGTTCTACCTTATGTTACCTCATTGCTTAAACTCTCCTGACAGGTTCACAAAAGTGAGACAATGATAATGATTCTAATAACAGTTTTTAGACAGCAATCTACCTGGCTGTTTTCTTTTCAAGGATTTCCTCTGCCTTTCAATAGCTTCTTTCATCTCCAGCAAATTTCTCTATAAAATACCAAGATTTCATCTGTCAGCTCATCTCAAGAATTTAATTCGAAAACAGAAAAATGTTAGTTTAACTTTCATTCAACTAACACAAAATACCATGCAACAATTAGAGAGCCCGTAATAGGAGAAGATGTGCAACTAAGATCTGCTTGCACTTTGATTGTTAGAGAAAAAGTTCTCATTTTTCATGGCCATGGATGCATTTTCTGTCAGAATCAAGAAACTCAGAACAAACAAAAGAAACCACATCTTGGGTTACCCAACCCTCAACCCCCACAATACCAACAAAAACAACACTAATCTGTCCCAAAATGATTGTCCAATTTGGATTTTTAATTCTAGTACAATTTGTACTAAAATTGAAAATCTAAAATGGGCAACCATTTCAGGAGGGAGTAACAATAACAATCAAGAAGAAACATAAAGAGAAAAAAATCATCAAGCTGCATGATTATATTTACGGCATCGGAAGTATCTGTTCCACCGCAAGTTTACTGGGATAACATTCAAGTTTTGTATCAAACCATAGCACACCCATATATCTACATCCATATATCTACACCTACTGAACTGTGAAACTAATATTATCGGTAGAAAGTAACTATGTTGACATCCATACTTAAATAGAAAATTTTAAAAGTTGAAAATGATAATTTCTTTTCAATCTGACTTTGTGAAAGATAAAAAGAGAGGCGTACAAGCTGAACATTCAGATCCTTTAATGCTGGCCCATCCTCCCAAGTCTCAGAAATGATGGTTCCAGCTCTGCAATTAATAAAAACCAATTAATTAAATGTAAAAATTAGATACAGGTAAGAAAAATCTTATGGCTAGAATTTCCTTGACTTGAACACCCACTCTTGACTTGAATATACCCCCACCCACTCCCTCAAAAACATAAAACAGAAAAACAAAAACAAAAGAGTACAAAGAACTCTTAAGCTGTAGCAACAGGTACATGGAAATGCACCACATGATACCACAAATCCAATCATCCCATCAGGCTGACACCACAGAGTACGACGCAAAATTCTCCAATCAATCTCAACCCACAAAAAATTAAAACGACAATTATGTGCAACCGACTATTTTTATGCAAACAGAGAATAAGAAAGTTACCTGATAACACCCACATTTCCAAGTCTCAGCGAATCCTGACGTACCCTCATTCTTGCTTCCTGTCTTTCAGCTTTTGAAACAGATATCAACAAATCAGATAACGTCTTCATCCTCTGCATCCAAAAAGTTCGTGGAAGATGAGTTGCAAGAACTAGAAGCAGCTAATATTGCACCGCAAGACAACATGAATATTTCTTTTTCTTAAGTATGCAAAAAAAAAAAAAAAGAATGAAGAATAATGCTGGTGTTTTTCCGTTGAGACAAATTTTTCCTACAATTGTTTTAAGCCAAAAAGGAAAATTTGTTTCCTCACAATGGTTAGCCTTTATCAATAACCCTGAAAGTTTCTTTTCTTCCTTGAGACTCTTTATTAATTCTACAACCACAAAAGATCAGTAGCTGTCTATAGTTACTAATTACTTTTTGTTACGATGTTAATGCATTCTTCCTAAATGTTACCTGTGGTTTAAAAAAAAAAAAACCACAAAAAATATCATGCGCTAGCTTCCCTAAGAAAACTCATAACAATATGATTCGCTCTGGTTTATATTCACACAGCGGCCAGGAGGGGTCAAGGCCTGCCAACACCTGACGATTTTCTTTGAGTCACTGAAAGCCTAAAGCATATGCATTCACAAAACTGATAGTTTAGCAGCCAGTGTTCATATGCAAAGACCCATTTAGATCAGAAAGTACCAAAGGTATCACACATGAGGCACATGAGAAAAGCCAAAGAAATAGTGGGTCTTATGCCATTTGTTGGCGTAGCAAATTCCCCATTGGGTAATTGTATGATAAGTGCTGGCCAATCAGAAACCAAAATAAAAGGAAACCTTGTTCCAGAAAAAGGAAAGCACTTTAAATTTACTCATACATCAATTAAATTGAAGAGTTTAATAGAAGAAATTATGGCCATCAGTCACTTTTTGTATATTCATGCAGCAGCAAACCTAATGAGAGCACTTGCAATCCAAGAAGTAGAAAGTACTTGATGTATACTTGGAAAGTCCATCTTCTGAAACTGTTGGCCTACTTCAAGTCCAGACACGTTTTATAACGTTATGCCCAAGGTGGTTGTAACATTCATGTTAACCTCAGAAGCATTCAATATGTATACAAATTTATTTTGGTTCAACATTAAGCCATTAAGCCATTACATTTTTGCTTACTTGAAAATTTGATTTTGATTTTTTTTAGTCCCATTATTATTTTGAAAGCAGACTGTGTGATACCACAGGGAAAAACTTGAATTATTTTTTCAAATATCAATTTTGGTTAACTGCAAAAACAAAAAAAGAAAGAAAGAAAGAAAGAAAGAAGGAAATAAGGAGCCATATCTATGTATTAATATTGTAATCACTTATGAATGGCATAACACCATTCAGAAAAAGTGGTATTATTCAAGGGAACAACTAAAAAAAAAATCAGATAAGCAGAAGAGCTCAGTGGGGCATTTATACTGGAATCAAACTAAATGTACTTATTAAATTACTGCTGCCATAACATATTAGCATTGTAGTAGCACCAACCCTCACGAGCTAACAATCACAAATAAAAGAAAATGGAGGACAAAGTATCACCTTCGGCTTCATTTGCTGTTCGGCATCGTTGACATTTTTCAGTTCCTGTGCAACATCATACAGAATTTAGTGTTGCGTTGTTAACAAGTTTCAGTGCAGACAAAGAGAGTTGATACCTGTTCAAGTTCTTGATTTAACAGTTGAGATTTCCTCAATGCCTCCTCCAGAGCTCCAACTTTCTCACGCAATATCATAATCTCCTCCTAAAGATAATTGAGCGTTAAAAAAACAACAAAAGAGGCAGAAGTATAATGCCAAGCCCGAAAAAGAACAACAATTGCCACAACAATAACATTGCACATCGTTCAAAGAACTTTATCCTTTGCCTGAAAACACAGAAATAAACAAAAAGGGGATAGAAAAACCACTGACGCAAAACTCTACCTCAAATGAACTCGGATCATCACGTCGAAGCGGCTCTTTGGCATCCTGAATGGATATGAACCACACATAAGTTAAAGTATACAATACAGAAAGTCAAATAACAAAACACAACACCAAACAAAAAATGACAACCAATTCAACATAGACATATAATTGCATCTCATACCATGTTACAGAATAAACACCTTTTTTACGTCTTCACTAATATGACAAAACAAATTGAGGCAGACAACTGGTTGTTATGTATACAGAGGACCACCTTATAAAATATTAGGGATAGGATTAATTTATATCTGGAGAAAAAAGCATCCCCTCTTTACGGGACCATAGCAGATTCTAGTGCACATTCTGAATTTTAGAACTTTCTTGATAAACCATTAATCAGTGACAAAATCTGTGTTACATTTCTGTTTTTTGATGGCAGGCCCCAGTGTTCAAATCCAGCTTGAGGAACCTCTGTAACTACCTCCCAAACCCTCCCAACCATAACCAGTAAAATAACCCAGATAGAAGTAAAAGTATATAAGTCCCAAGTCATTTATCAAACAAAACATAAACAATCCAACAAAAATGAAATAAAAGAACAAGGCGGCATGGTCACCAATGAGTCAGATACGACAAAGAGCTTCATACAATGAAAGTTAAAGACAGAACAAAGACAGAACGTTATTGCATCAAATCAGATCCTCCAAGGTAATGCGGATCCAAAAATTTAACACAAAAGGAGAGATGGACTATATGATTCTGAAAATTGACACCCAAAAAATGATAGAGCAAGTGCACAGGACTTCTAAAAATACTCAGAAACATTTGCAAATTGCGGCACATATAGATATCTATTATATAAGAGACCGAATCTGATAACAGTAAACGACTGCATTAGAAATGTTGAATGAAGTTACCATGGGAGCAAACAGCGAAAAAGATTTCTCCAGGTGTAATTGAGTGGAACGAGATTAATGTTCCAGCCAGACTTAATTAATTAACAGCGAGAAAAAGAATGCAGCAAACATACAAAAAATGCCTTTGACAGAATTAACCTTTTGATTTGTAACCGCAATTAATCACTTGTGCAAGTATTTAGACATTTTGTAGGGGATTTTGCCATTTATTTCCCATATCTAAACAGCATTCTTAAACAAGAAACAACATTAATGCACAATAACCAAAGCACAGGTGTAACGGAAGTATAAGGAGACAACAAAAAAATACTATCCAAATTTCCAATTAACGCGGTTAAGAGGTGAAGAGGAATTACTGTCTCAGATACAATCAATAAGACTTACCTTCTCTAGCTGGCCATTTGGCACGAAAACCATATTAACTTTGGTCTGGTCACTGCCTCGGGTGCCACGCCCTCTAGCTGAACCAGAGTGTCCTCTACCACGACTTTGACGTCTCTTGTTTGTATCTGAAGCTGCCTTGGCAACATCCACGCTGTCAACTATCTTCTGCCTAGGGTCAGCTGCCGACTGAGAAAATTTTCTATCAGGATCAGGAAACAAAATCTGGCTTTATAAATAAGATCTGAAAGTGAGTAATGCTGATGATATCAGAAAGGAAATGCGCTGGACAGGGAGGATCGATATCTTCACAAAACCATACCCATACCATAAAGAATATCAGGTAGAAAATCATAAGTGTTGATTGAGTTATGCCATTATATGCGAAACATTAAATTAAATTTGATTTGCATACCTCGACATGTTCAAAAACCAAACCAGTATTATTGTCCTCAAATTTGCGCCGCTTTTGAGTATTAGCTTGTATGAGGAATTCCCCCCCGTTCTGAAAGACAAATTATGAACAGATCAGAGGAATTCACTATTCAATTCACAAATGTTACTATCCACTGAAGGAGATCAACATCATGCTATGCTCTCAAATAAGTTTAGAGAGGAAGGGGGAGAGATATGTGGGTCCATCAATGAACAGAGGTGTAGTATTCCGGGTTGCGATTCCTTCTCAAAGCATTGTCTTATATGCCTTCATTTTCGTCAAAGGGACACTTGGATAATACGTGTCACTGAAGCAAGGTAATTCGACAAAAAGCCTTACAACTATACTTGACATTCGGAGGACAGATGTAAAATGTCCTTACCCTCTATAGGATAGGAAATTCATCAGTCTGTAAGTCATTTATTATACCCGATAAGTGGAAAATATCCTCGGCTACTATTAAACTACCAAATCCACATGGACTTAAATGACACTAACTGTTGATATGAACACTAAGATAAATTTTATGAAGCTTATGATCAAGAGTCACAAAAATCATACAGCCACAAACACTTCAAATTCCAAAATCATATCAGAAACAAGATGGTATAAGACACAAATTTAAACACAAGTATGCATAGAGAGAGGAGAGATTTAATCCCCTTTCCCAATACGGGTGAACTATTCTATTAACTTAGTTGTAGCCCCAATCCGGATGAAGAAAAAATTGTTCATTTGACAAACTATAAATATTTCACTTTCAGTTCCTTCCTGCAACCTAAACACCAATTGTATGCCTTTGCAGGCACCATGAAGAAATAAAGACACAAACTTTATTTTTATTGATGTTAAATCTGTTCCAATAACCCAAGGAACAAGCCTACAAAAATTGCAAGACAAATATCGACGAGGATGATAACCTAAATGAGACACATCAACAATATCAGAATAAAATCGATTGCTCCTGAACAAAAAAGAAAACACAAGTGACTTGGTAAGTGTTGAAATTCATGTTCAATCAACCGCATACTCTGTAAACACAAATGCAGATACTGTTGGCTATTCTACTTTTCTTTAAGATTATTCAACGGTAACAGAATGCCCACAGCATGTAATGTGTCCCAAACACCATAGCATAGCTTTAGCAATTAAAATTTATAAATACTCTGAATCATCTACACTCTGCACATCCAATCAAAAATCGTGAAAACATCAATTTCCAAAAATTAACCGATGGAAAACAACAATTCCGCGGGGAAAAAAAACGTAAACAAGTAATATAATTCAATGACACCAGAATGGATAAAAGGATGGAGACTCACATCATCGTCGTCCGAATCACTAGACAGAGGCTCATTGGGCAAGCTCTCGGGAGGGTCGGAAAATTTGGTGGCGGCAGACCATGAGGCCGGCTGCTGTGGCTGCGTAACAGCAGATGTTACAGAGGATGCTTTGCCAACCATTCGAGCCTCCAACTTGGCAATTTTGTTGGACTGATCCGACTGATTGGAGGAATTGGAAGCAAAATGTATAAGCATGTCGTCAGACATTGTAAAATGTTCTCAACTTCCGTGGACCCCCAATGCAGGTGGCCGAGCTGCACTAGAATTCTGGTCAACTCATTCCCCAAAACCGTGAAGAACCCATCAAAATTTGAGGAATATAGAAGGAGCCCAGATGTTAAACGATTGCAAAAAATCAAGAAAAGACTATTTTTATCGCTTTTATTGATAATTGACTGGTTTTAGAGAAGCCCCTTCGACCAAAAGAAAAAGGCTAATTAATCAAAGGTAGGTTTAGCAAAATAAAAACTCCCTAGTTGGACTTCAACTCCGTGACCTTGTGTCTTTAGCGTTTCGGAGAAGTTAAGGATAAAATTTCAATCAGGATGATCAAGAAAAGGAGAATCGAGCTGCATGCATCATTGATGAGGAAGGAAGGGAAAGAAAACAGGGGAATTGAACTAGGGTTTCTCCGTTTCAATCTGCGGCAAGAATGCAAGAATCAAGACAAAGAAAGCGAAAAGGTTTTGTGGGGGAGGGCAGGAAGGAAGAGGTGGGAGAGAGTTTTTGAAATCTGGGCAGTGAGGCAGTCAAGTAGTGATGCGACTTTTTGGTTCGTAGGAGGAAAGGAAAGGTGCGTTATTTTGTGCCTTTTTCTATGATGTCATATTGGATTGCGCAGTGCTTAGATTTTGGCTATGGCAAATGGTTCATCGCATGGTTGATGTCTCTTACACAAGGTTTGGGAAGGCACAGTAAGGAATCAAAATGGGATGGGCCCAACCGGGCTGTATAAACCAACCGGGTCACGAGTAGCTCGGTTTGAGTTTGATCGAATATTGAACTTGAACTGGCCCGTAACCAAAGAACCATAACCTTAATGTCTTTGACTACAATTAGAACATCTGAGATAGGAGTTACTTTTCCCTGTAACCAAGGAAGCATAACCTTAACATCTACTTGAATTTTTATTTTTTTAAATTCTTCTAAGTTACACTTCCAGCATCGCAGTTCTCGCAGTTTCAAGTTTAGCAATAAAATGACTCTATACATGCTCTTGAAAACTGGCTTATCCAAAACCAACTTCCCTACATCATCTCAAAAATGGATCTTCAATCTTGCTACACTCATACCATGAACTTTTCATACTTTACTTTATTGTCTCCGAGAGTTTTAGAGTTAACTTAGTTGCTTAGATCGATCGATGTGCCACCCTTTAATTCGACCAGATGATGTGGGAAGACTGTTTTTCGTTATTCCAATGAGCATTTTCAATGGGGGTTATTTTTCAGCTTAATCTTGACAGTTAATGTTGGTTTCGTCATTTTACTTCTAATTCATCTTTACTCTTTTCCCCTTACAAATACAATATAATTGGGTTCTTGTAACATCACAACTGAATTTTGCTAACAAGACAATATTTCGCAGTGATATTCTTCAGATTTCATCTCCATAGTTTAGGTTGGATTCAATTTATTCCATTTCATTTTTTCACTTTCATTTCCTCTTGGCGTTTTCTTTTTCCAAATACAAAGAAATTGTAAATCATTATGACAACTTTATTCTTTGTTAAGACAATAGCCATCCCTCTCATATTTTTTACTTATATATAATCAAAATTTTAAAGCAGAAATTGGCATAAGAAAAAATGTTTCAATGGTACCAGTCACCTTTATCAATGGTATTATCTTTCTTGAATACGAAGATGACGAATACGATCGTCTAACAGCTCTGCATCTGTTGAGTTTGGTTGGAAAATTTTTATATGGACTTACAAAAATGAAGGAGATCCATAAGGAATTTTAAGAAAATTGGATCTCATGGGAACTATACCCTAAGCTTGATGAACCCTAGGCATGTCTTAATCCATTTTGAACGCGAGGATGATTATCAACATTGTTGGATATGTACCCTCTCGAACATACCCGGATTCTCGATGCGAATTCTAAAATGGAAGTTTGGATTCAAGTTTGAAGAAGATCCACCAATTGTATCAATTTGCGTCTCTTCTAAACCTCCCAATTAAATTTTTAAACTCTGAAGTGATATTTTCCATGACTACAGCGATTGGCGAACCGTTAAAGGTTGATGCGCCGACTTTAAATCTAATGCGGCCATCAGTCACAAGGTTTTGTGTAGAGATTAATCTCACAAAAGAATATTCCAAGTCAGTGATGGTTGGAAAAAAAAAAGAAAGAAGAATGAGCAATTTTTTACGTATGGACATGTCCCATGATATTGTTCGAAATGTTGCAAGATCGACCACAAGGTAGAAGATTACAAAAAAGGGTGTTACAAAACGGCCAATTGAAACATTAAAGCAAAAAAGCTCCACCAAAGTTCCGCAGCAACTCAAGAAACCGGAAAACCCTAGGTGGAGGTCGAAGGATCCAGTAGTTAAGAAGGTAAATGAATTTACCTCCGGTTCGATAGAGAAAGAATAGGTTACTATTCCAGTGGATATTCAAGATTCCCAGCTCTCCTCCCCCCCCCCCTCCCGAAGAATCAATTACAACAATACAAACTGAACAGACTCAAAGCTTAGAGTATGCGACAGTCTCAAAACAAATTGGCCATGCGCTAGTCTCAAATCGATTTGCTATGCTGGAAACGATCAGTGAAGCTAATATTGAGGTTCAGGATGATGATAAATAAGAGAAAATTGAAGATGCTGCAAACAATCAGTGAAGCTAATATGGCAGAATGTTGACCGTTGTAGCGAAAATAGAGCAAGAGGCAATACGTTTCTTCAAGGATCTTTTGAATGATCTTGAATCAGATCAAAATAATGAGGAAGCGCAGAGTGCATTATTGCATCATATACCAACGGCTCTCGATGATGATGATTGTGAATTATTGTTGAGGCATATACTCCTTGAAGATGTGAAGGAATTTGAATGATGATTCAGCCTCTGGTGTTGATGGCTTTGGCGGAATATTTTATAGGAATTGTTGGAATATTATAGCAAAGGATCTATGGAATGCTTGCCAGGAATTCATGCCTGGGTTCCACTACCAAGGTCCATAGCAAGTATTCTAATCACACTCATCCCTAAAAGTTGCCGGTTAATACTTTCTCAGATTATAAACCAATAAATCTTTGTAATTTCTTGAATAAGGTCTTTACGAAAGAAGTAACGGAGAGGCTGAAAGTTGTTTTGCCGAAACTTGTATAAGAGGAACAGTTGGCTTTTTTGACAGGGAGAGATATTATTGATAATGTTATGCTTGCTCAGAACTTATGCCAATTTCTAGATCGTAAAGCGGAAGGAGGAAATTTTGTGTTGAAGTTGGATATAATGAAAGCGTTTGATCGGGCAAGGTGGAGTTTCTTGGAGAAAGTCTTCTCTTAAGTATTAGCGTGAAAAATCCCCAAAATCACACGTATTATGTGAGTATATATTTGTTGTCCAATGACTCTACAAATTTTTCAGTGTTTGATGATTAAAGTTTGAAACTTTGAGTGATTTAGCGGCAGAAAAAATGTAATCTTTTGCTTATTTTGGCGTGCAATTTTAAATGTGAAATGTGAAATTATAATTTTGGAATAGTTATCATTTTTTGGGTTGCTGTTTTTTCTTTTTTTTTTTTCCTTTTAAATCATGGGTTGCTAGTTGTTTCTCTAGTGATATTGATTCAAGTTTTTGGGCGTTATGTTTTGGGCTTTGTAATTTTTAAAGTTTGTTAGTCCAGAAAAAAAAAAACTCCCTCTGTCCCAAAATTATTGTCCACTTTGAGATTTCACTTTTAGTACAATTTGAACTGAAAATGAAAACTTAAACTGGACAATAACTATGGGACGGAGGGAGTAGTTTTTTAAGTAATAAGATAAAGTAAGTATTTTATTTACCACTATCTCTTCCTAAAACTGAAACCGATAGAAACCTCATCATCTCAATTATTTATGGTTTTTTTTTTTTTTTGTTCTTTCTATCCAAACTATTACGTTGCATTTTTCATTTGGAGAGATGAAACATTTTTTCTTGTATCTTACTTTTGGTGAGGCATATTATTTATTAAGATACAGTGGATCTATATGATGTTATTATTCTGTCCTGTTTGTTTTTGAAAGTAAAATAGATTTACAATTATGACTTTTACATTTGGAGAGAAGAAGTCTTGGGTGATCCACGCATCATGTTCTGTGGTATTGGTCTCTAGCGAACAAGAAGTATTTGACTTGCAGTTTTCTTTTTGTCTCATTACATTTAGTTGCTCAAATAGCATTTGTAACACCAGATAAATCTCGATGTATTGAAGAGATTATCCTAAGAACTGCTCAAATGGACATGATCTCAGATCAGGTAAACCTTTGCCGCGGATTGTATACTAATTAAACAATATATCTAATATGGTAAATTAGATTCCTCATTTTTGCATCTTTGTTCACCAATCAGTACCCACTCGTTCAAATAAGGCTTGGAGAGACTTTTCTCGAAATAGGATTTACGATTTTTAGACAACACTTGGTTGCGAAATAGATTTAAACATATAGTATAGAGTTTTCTTAATCATATCAATTAAACATTTAGTAGGTATTTTTTTTCAAAAATTCTTAAGGGATCTGTATCTACCAAGGACCCCATCTACTTTTTCGCATTTGTCTTCCTTATAACACTTTTTATGACTCGTCCAAATAATCTTCTTTTTTCTTTTTGTACTTTTAGTGCCTGTCACTATTTTATTTCTCCTTCTATAAAATAACAAAATTCTCCAATTTTAAAGTAGAGAGAAAATAAAGATAACAATTAAAAATACTTAATACTTAATTCTGAATACTTAATACTAAATTAGAAATGCTGATTTCATTAAGCAATTACAGAATAAGCAACTTAATTCATTAAGAGGTTCATTTTTATTATCAAACATGTTTAATTAAAAAAATACTTAATGAAATAATTAAGCAGTGTTATCAAACAAACCCTAAATGTGCAAAAATTAAAGGATGATTAGATGAGAGAAAAAGAGTGTGATAAAGACCACAAATGTAAAAAATGGGAGAGTGAACCTCAAAATGGGTCATTGAACTATTAGGTAATTCTAATATAGGTCATCAATCAAATTTATTTCTATAACAGGTCACCTTACTAAGCAAAAAAATTTATTCGAGATTATTATGTTAATTTTAGCCGTTAAATAGTGACGAAAATCCATTTTTCACATGATTTTGGGTTCATGGGTATTTTTGTCATTTTGTTATTTTTAAATTTTATTTTTTTTGAAAAAAATTATTATTTTTTTTATTTTTTTACAATTCTTCTTCTTATACTTCCTAACTTGTATATGCTGGTAGTATAATTTCTAAATTTTAAAAATTAATTTAAATTTTGTCTTAACTTCTAGATTATAAATTTTTTTAAAAAAAAATAGAAAAAAAGAAGAAGAAGAATTTGAGTTGAAATAAATATAAAAATTAATAGTTTATCGTTTTAAACCAAAACAGAAACTGAAAAAATTAGCTAACACAAGTTTTTCCTTGTAGGTTATGTAATTATTTTCAACTCGATTTAATTATTTAATTATTAATTTTCACGTTTACTTCAATTTGAATTTCTCTTCTTTATGTTTTTATAAACTAGAAGTAAAAATAAAAATGGCAAATTAATTTTTAAAATTTAATAATTATTATACTACGAACATATACAAGTTAGGAAGTAAAAAAGAAGAAGAATTGTTTTAAAAAATTAAAATATTAATATATTGAAAGAAAAATACAGAATTAT